TAGTGACCGTTCAAAGTTAACAATGGCACTGAAAAAAAGGGACACGTGGCCGTTTCTCCCGCTTAACGACCGATGCAGCAGTCCCGCGATTTACATTTGGGATGCTTGACAACTGATTCGCGTTTATGACGGTCGCAGCATCCCAGGCTCACCCGATCCCCTTCTCGCGACCTTCTGCCAAGCAAAGGTCAAAGAGGAAGCCAGATGGACTTCACAAGGGTTGTTCCTAACTTTTAACAATTGCAGCGGGTCGCTTAACAAATGCAGCATGAAAAGGGATAAAACGGGGGGGGGGGGCCAAAACTCCACTTCTCGCTCAGCAGTGTCAGTTTTGTGCACAGTTGTGGTTGTAAGCCGAGGACTGTCTACACGTTGCATTTTGAAACTTAGCTCTCGAGAGACAGAATCTCGATTTTTGCGCTTCCGCAGGGCTCCGTGTCGCATTGAGATTTGCTTCCCCGCATATTGATTAATACAATTAATTCCAAGCAAGGTGTCAACGCTGCTAACATCGGATGTTTTTGCATTGACAACAGATGGCGATGCGGCCATTTTCTTCTTCTTGCTTTTAGAGTCAGATAATGCTGGGAGGTGGGGGGAATGTGCACGAGAGTCTAGCTAGACATAGTAACACTGGACCTAGTGTGCGAACCAAGGTTATTGAAAGAAGAGATGGTAAAGAATTGGCCGGCTGGAGAGCTGGAGGGGAAGCCGGCGTTTCAAACTGATTGGGGAAATATGATTTATGACTGTTAACTGGAGGAGGGAATTGTGCTTTGATACTAGGTGCCAGTCTAAAACCTGACTTGTTTCCCCCCCCCCCTGCAATTCTTCCAGGGACGACACATGGCCAGAGACGACTGGACGCTATGCCCCCGTTGCGAGTTCCCTGCACTCTATTCCGATTTCAAAAAGTAAGTTGTCATCTTTTTTAAAATTCTCAAATGATTTACCTGCGAAGGATGTTCTCCGTTGCAGCGGCCTGCAACAAAATTCTGATTTCTACCCAGTTGAAATTAATCCCGCTTATTTCTCTGTGGCTGTTGTTGACTGTCTGCCGTTCTCCTTTTCACATCCTTTTTTTTAATCGCTTTCCTGTTCCCAAATAATTTTATTTCGGCTAACAGCAGCCAAAGAGAAGTTGGTTGCTGCCTTTTGTGTTTGGAGGACCATGATCAATCTTCGCCAAAAGCTCCATTGCAAAAAATGCCCCATTGGTTGTATTAGGACTGATCTGGCACCATATACTGTATATACAGCTGTGTTTGAGGTTTTTTTTTATTAAGTCATGGTTGATTGTTGTTAATTGCGAAGTTGTGTCCGACCCATCGCGATCCCATGGACCACGTTCCGCCAGGCCTTCCGGTCCTCTACCATCTTCTGGAGTCCCTTTAAGCTCACGCCTGCTGCTTCAGTGACTCCATCCAGCCACCTCCTTCTCTGTCATCCCATTCTTCTCTTGCCCTCCATCTTTCCCAGCATCAGGCTCTTCTCCAGTGACTCCTTCCGTCTCATTAGGTGGCCAAAATACTTGAGTTTCAACTTCAGGATCTTCTAAAGAGCAGTCGGGGTTGATCTCCTCTAGGACTGACCGGTTTGAACACCTTGCAGTCCAAGGGACTCGCAGGAGTCTTCTCCAGCACCAAAGTTCAAAGGCCTCCATTCTTTGGCACTCAGCCTTTCTTATGGTCCAACTTTCACAGCCATACGTTGCAACTGGGAAAACCATGGCCTTGACTATACGCACTTTTGTTGGCAGGGTGATGTCTCTGCTTTTTAGAATGCTGTCTAGATTTGCCATAGCTTTCCTCCCCAGGAGCGTCTTCTAATTTCTTGGCTGCAGTCCCCATCTGCGGTGATTTTGATTAGGATCACATAATAAAATAATTTCCAGCTAGGAAATATCACTCTTGACTTTAAACTAGTTTGCCCAGGCAAATGACCATGTAGTCCTCTTACGTTTTGCTGGAGCATTATTTTACTTGAGTCTCTGGGATAATGTCTGCTACCAGCTGAGAAGTAATACTTTTAGAAATATTGTATATTTGCAGATAAATTTAACTGGAAAAAGCCTTCTTTCCCTCAATCTACTACACTTTTAAGATGTTGAAATGAGCAAACTTTTGCTATATTTTTTTCACAAATGACATGTCAGAAATACAGTAAACCTAGAGTTTGTGTGTGTGTGTGTACATACACACACACATAGAGATGTCTGATCTTGTCTGTGAATCTCTCAGGACATTTCTAATGTTGCTTTAGACAGTACACTACCCAAATTATTGTATGGCCTGCCAAAATATTATATAGTAGGTCAAATTAGTGACTAAGTACATTAGATTCTCCTTCTGTTTGACTTTCTGCCAGTTCTCTCTCTATATTTGAAAGATGTCTAGTTTGTTGAAACATGGATGTTAATATTTTGGGACACGTAGCCTCTGGTTTTTGTGATTAAAAATAATAACACTGTAGACTTGCACGCTGCTAACATTATTCCTTTCTATCAACTGCTTGGGCAAACATCAAACATCATCCATTTGAAGGTGCTGAAGCGAATCATTGATGGAAAGACCGAGTAAAAGCAAAGACACTAATATAATGTTTTGCAACCTGTAGATGATGCTCAGCATGGAAGGTTGTGAATGTGTGTTCTTTTCAATAGTTTGTTGCAGAGCGAAAGCACGTGTCCCATGTGTTCGGAAAAAGTCGATGCCACCGGCCTAAAAAGAACAGCGGATTGCACGCCGTACCTCAAGCCGGAAGTAGAGCAATAATTTTGATCAAGTTAAGTGGCTCAGTCTTCGTTTTCATGTTTAAAACTCAGAATATTAAAGAATGTTCATTTGTTTATGACTAAAATAGTTTAACTGGCCTACTCGCTCGTGCGCCCACGTCTCCCTACACGTACACCCCCCCGAATTTGCTTCTTCCCCGCAACAGAGCTGCTTTCGCTTGCTTTCCACGATGCGTTGTGTACGTGGAAGGACATGGGTTGTGTGCTGGCCATTGATTTTCCTCTGCTTGACATCTGCAAAGGGGGCCCTTGGGCCAATGCATTGGTACTGATGGAGTATTGATATACTGGCTTTTTGAGTATTGATGCCAACACCAAGACTTGGCATTTTAGACTACTGTTCTCCATGGGGCCACCCTTGAAAAGCATCCAGTTGGATCAAAATGCAGCGGGCCGTGTGGTTTTGTGCAGACCTCAGTGTGCACATGTGTTGCCTCTCCTGCGAAAGCTGCATTGGTTAATAATAATAATGATGATGATGCTACAAAAAACTACGCTACTTGGAACATCTTACATTTTAAGGAGGCTGGCAGCAACCCATGTCAACCATCAGCACCAGCCAATTTGAATGTTCAGTTGACTTGAGGTTCACATCTAATGAATAATAATAAAGTTGGAAAGGACCTTGGAGGTCATCTAGTCCAACCCCTGCTCAGGCAGGAAACCCTAGACCATTTCAGATCAATGGCTGTCCAGTCTCTTCTTAAAAACTTCCAGCGTTGGAGCATTCACCGCTTCTGGAGGCAGGTTGTTCCACTGGTTAATTGTTCTGACTGTCAGGAAGTTTCTCCTTAGTTCCAGGTTGCTTCTCTCCTTGATGAGTTTCCATCTGTTGCTTCGTGTCCTGCCTTCAGGCGCTTTGGAGAATAGCTTGACTCCCTCTTCTTTGGGGCAGCCCCTGAGATATTGGATCACTGCTATCACGTCACCCCTCATCCTTGATTGATGATCTGATGATTGCTTCCGGGTGCAATTCAAGGTGCGGGTTGTCACCTTATCTGAGGGACCGTCTGTTGCCGGCCACATCCACCCGGCCCACTAGAGCAGGGAGACAAGGAATGTTGCGGGTCCCGTCCCCTAAGGACGCACATCTGGCAGGACCCACCAGAAGGGCCTTCTGTGTGGTGGCTCCCTCCCTTTGGAATATCATCACTTCAGAAATTAAACCGGCCCCCACTTCGACACTCTTTCATAAGGCCCCGAAGAGGTTGTTTTTTTTGCCAGCGGGCCTGGGGAACCCAGAATGGTATGGAGCCCATTGAATGGGAGAGGTGTGTGTGTCTTGTATTGTTTTTTATTTTATTTTCTATACTGTGTTTTTATTGCTTGTAAGCCTCCTGGAGTCTCGGTGAGCGAGTAAGCGGCTGTATACATTTTCTAAATAAATAAAAATATAAACTGTATTAATACCACTTTACAAGGCCTTGGTAAGGCCACACTTGGAATCCTGCATCCAGTTTTGGTCACCCCGATGTAAAAAAGATGCTGAGACTCTAGAAAGAGTGCAGAGAAGAGCAACAAAGATGATCAGGGGACTGGAGGCTAAAACATACAAGGAACAGTTGCTGGAATTGGGGATGTCCAGTTTAATGAAGAGAAGACGAGGGGGGGGGGCATGATAGCAGTGTTCCAATATCTCAGGGGCTGCCATAAAGAAGAGGGAATTAAGCTATTTTCCAAAGCACCTGAAGGCAGAACGAGAAGCAACGGGTGGAAACTAATCAAGGAGAGAAGCAACCTAGAACTAAGGAGAAACTTCCCGACAGAACAATTAACCAGTGGAACCCCTTGCTTCCAGAAGCGGTGAATGCTCCAACACTGGAAGTTTTTAAGAAGAGACGGCCCTTTTTTCTGAAATGGTATAGGGTTTCCTGCCTGAGCAAGGGGTTGGACTAGATGACCTCCAAGGTCCCTTCCAAATTAATTATTATTATTATTATTACTACTGCTACTACTATTACTATGGCCGTGACCCTTCATCAACCATGCTGGCTGAGGAATTCTGGGAATTGATGTCCACCCATCTTAAAAGCCGCCAAGGTTGAAAAAAACGGGGCACTGCGGTTTTGTTCCCCAGCTCAGTTCCAGCTTTGATGCCCGTCTCCAAAAATTCAGCAAAGGGTCCCTCACTCCCGCAAGCGACGGCTGCAGAGATCAGCTTCCAAGCAGATAAATATAAGGCAAGTTCCATTAAGGGGAACTTAAAAATTGTTAAAAATATGAAACTAGTTTTATTGCAACTTTTACACAGTGCTGCACTTTCATATACAAAAACAAAGGACCGACTTAGGCTTTGTTCCTTTATATGTTATATACACGGTTAGTAACATAATGAGCATTTTAAAAAAAAAATAGAGGAGCTTTGCGAAGGGAAGTGCCTTAGCAGCTTGGGCTCTTTCTCCCAGAAAGCTGAGTCTCTCTCAGTTATTTACAGGAATCAAACAATATAGATTCTATTTGCTTCTTTTTCTGCTATATATATATATATATATATATATATATATATATATATATATATATATATATATATATATATATATATATATATATCGCAAACCCTGGGGCAGAGTCTGCCAAACCATTTACTGTGTCCACAGTCCAACAGTAAGCTTGCATAGACAATTTATTTAGCTTTTTTTCTTTGATTTTCCTTTTTTCTTCTCTTCCTTTCTTTCTGTTGTTGGTGGCTTGGCAGCTTTGGTCTTTTTCTGTCAAAAAAGAAGATACATTTTAAAATGCCAACTGAATCCCAGTGTGCCTAGCTGCTCACTAATTCACTTTTCAGTTGCAAACTGTTCCACGTATTTAAAAGCACTAACCCCCCCCCAAAAGAACACCTTAATACATGTGTAACTCGTCCCAACAACTAGCAAATCATAGAGCATGGAAGTGAAATGCAAGCAAAATATGGGGGGGGGGAGGGAACAAGAGGAAAAAAGGGAGGAGAAAAAAATAATAAACTACGACTTAATCCAGAACTAAAAAAATCTATTCAAAAACATCCAGTCTTTAAATCAACCTTCAAAAAAGATTTCTCTGCTACGACGGCTGGAACCTGGAAGAACGGTCACAAGGATTTGAACCCTTTGTTCAGCACCGTTTGTAAGTTTGGACCATCTCTGAGCACGTGGTCATTATCTGAGGATCGCTCGTGAATTTGCATATTTAAATGCGCTGTGGGAGGGAGGGGTACCTTAATCATTGCATCGCTTTCGAGGCTTCCTTGCTCGGTTTCGGGCTCGGCCTCATTAGATTCCAGCTCTTCGTTCAGGTCCGCATCCACCGACCCCCCTCGTCTCTTCTTCGGTGCCATTTGCAAGGAGTAGGGGGTAAGGTGTGCAACTTTATTGTAGGCGCGGGTGAACGCCGATTTCACCTGTCGGGGCAAAAAAAAACCAACAACGGAGACTTTTTAAGCGTCAGGTTCTGGTTTTTTAGCTCGGCAGTTACTGATGGGATACAAATGGCGTTGCACCCACTCCTCGTTTAGCAACTAACTGCCTCAGTTAGTGACCGTTTGCAAATACAACAGTAATACATTCATTTACTGACTAAGGAGCACATTTCCTTTTGCACTTGACAATGCACATCAGTGATGTAGAGGATGGAGGGACTTTTATCTTAATCAGACAGCAGGAACTCTCTCTCTCTCTCTCTCTTTACTATCTATTATATCTTTCTACTATCTTCTATCTATCTAATCTATCTATCTATCATCTATCTATATCTCTCTATTTACCTCTATCTACTATCTATCTATCTATCTATCTATCTATCTATCTATCTATCTATCTATCTATATACCTCTACTATTATACCTTTCTACTATCTCCTATCTATCTATCTATCTCCTATCTATCTATCTATCTATCTATCTATCTATCTATCTATCTATCTATCTATCTATCTATCTATCTATCTATCTATCTATTACCTATATCTATGTATCTATCTCTCTAACATCTATATCTATATATCCATCCATTTACATCTATCTACATTATCTAATTCTATCATCTATCTATCTATCTATCTATCTATCTATCTATCTATCTATCTATCATCTATATCTCTCTGTGTATCTATCTCTCTAACATCTCTCTACATCTCTCTACATCTCTCTATCTATCTATCTATCTATCTATCTATCTATCTATCTATCTATCTATCTATACATCCATCCATCCATTTATCTATCTACATCTAATTATCATATCTATCTATCTATCTACATCTATCTATATCAGGGGTGGGCAACCTTGGCTCTTTTATGACTCGTAGACTTCAACTCCCAGAATTCCTGAGCCAGCAAGGCTCAGCTTGGAAACCTCCCTTTTCCCTCAGCATGGCCGGCTCAGGAATTCTGGGAGTTGAAGTCCACGAGTCATCAAAGGGCCAAGTTTGAAGACCCCTGCCTTGGACCAACAAGTTCAGTGTTCTCTTTTACAAGCCCTTTTGCTACTATTATGGTGACTAAAAGACGTAACAAGCAAGGCAGAAAAATCACAGTTCTGCATCTTGGCAATCTGCCATGATTGCCACGATTGCCTGGGTTTTAAGATCCGTGTATGTGTGTGTGTGTGTGTTTAGTTGACTATCCCTTGGGAGCTGGTTACGCATTTTGAAATGGATTAACGGTCTTTCTCAAAGTTCTTCCTTCAAGACGGTCAGCCAATAAGCGGGCAGGAATAATGGATCACTTGCCTTGGAATCCAAATTGGAAAATGGGCTGGGTTTCCCGGCCCAGCTGGTGATTTCCATGAGGTTTTCCACATCTTCCCTCAACAAGCAGTAAGAATCCATGAAGGCGACAGCGTCCCGGACCCCTTCCGAGCCTTGGCAAGTCAACGGTCGCACAACGGCATCGCGCAGATAGGAGAGATAGTCCAGGTTTACTGCCCTCTTACTTGCGTGCGTTCTGCGGGAGGGGAAAAAAAGATTACTTAGCGGAAGCTGGAATGGGTTACCCTGTGCGCCATCCAACTCCCAACTCTGGGGAACGTACAATCGAGCGGATAAAATAGGACTACGACAATTATGGGAGGGATTTTTTTTTAATCCTTTGTGGTAGACGTGTGATAAAGCAAAGAAACGTTGGAGTAGGATTTGTATTTTAACGCAGAAAATCCTTAAAGTCAATAGAAAGATTCAACCAGAAACTTTCTTTCTGGGTCTAATGGAAAAGGACTGGGGGGAGGGGGAGGAAAGGTGGAACTCTGATTTTATATATTTTGACGGCCGCAAGGCTGCTCTACGCCCCAAAATGGAAGGAAGTTTCGATTCCCACCCTGGACGAACGGCTGAAAAGGTTGATGGGATGAGCAGAGCGGGCTAAACTGGCTGCTTTGATAAAAGAAACGAACGTAAGTACTTTCGTTTCTACTTGGAAACCGCTTCTGGACTTTGTGCTTGAGGTGGGAAAAAAACGATACTTTAATTTGGGGTTTTACTGATTAGACTGTCTGGTTCAGGGGTAGGCAACCTTGGCTCTTTTATGACTGGTGGACTTCAACTCCCAGAATTCCTGAGCCAGCTATGCTGAGGGGAAAGGGAGAGGTTTCCAAGCTGAGCCACGTTGGCTGAGGAATTCTGGGAGTTGAAGTCCACGAGTCATAAAAGAGCCAAGGATGCCTACCCCTGTCCTAGAGGAACATATGAAAGCATAATTCATGTTAATTAATGTAGACTTTATTAGTTTAGAGCAGGGGTAGGCAACCTTGGCTCTTTTATGACTCATGGACTTCAACTCCCAGAATTCCTGAGTCAGCTATGCTACCTTGCCTACCCCTAGGGCAGAGGTAGGCAACCTCGGCTCTTTTGTGACTCTGGCCTAGGTGAATCGCAGCCACACATTATCTGCAGTGGCCTCAAAACCACCCTAACCCAAGGCCTGGGAGAACCACCGGGGGGGGGGGGTCTTTGAGGCCTTCTGGAATGCCAGAAAGATGGGATTTGTGGGAATCTCAAAGGACAGGCATCACTGTCAGAGAAGGCATTCTTCCATGGCCCAACAAAAGGAATGGGTTTAACTGAAGGGAGGCGGCAGAACGCACAAATTCTGTTGGATCAAACCAGCCTGTCGGATATGTCAGCCTACCTGGGCTAGAAGCAGCACCTTGAATTGCACCTGCAAGCATGAAAGCACACCAAGACGTGTACATCACTGTCCATTCCATTCGGAACCACTGTGGTCTTAAAGGACAGCGCCCTGTCCAGCCCATCGCAAGCATGATGCCATAAAAAGATTCGGGCATGTTTCAATCTAGGAAAAGGTCACCACTCAGAGACTCCCGAGGGTCTCCCAGCCCTGCTTAAGGATCAGGTGACAGCTGTGGCCAGGAACACCTTCGCAAAGGTGTCCCTGGCCACAGCTGTCACCTGATTCTCAAGCAGGGCTGGGAGACCAGGACTAGCATCCTCAGACCGTACGCCCCTCCTGAATGCGGAACGTGACCCCAAACAATTCACAGAATATGTAAAACGGTTCAGAGTCACAGAATTTTTAAGCAATAATTCAAGAGTGGTTAGAATGGTAAGCGAGCGTCACAGCTGGGCAGCTTCCAAGAGCCAAAGAGTATGTCAGTTTCTCTCTTGGGATATATCTTGACGTAAACGAGTGGAGGATTTATTTATTTTATTTTATTTATGAGACTTATATACCGCTTTAAGTGCAAGCACTCTCTAAGCGGTGTACACCAGTAAGCAATGTATATATATATATATTTTACATTGTTCCAGGGCTCCGATATCTAAGATGGGCAGCCATACAGACCTTCTAAGTAAATCAATAATCAAGCAATGTATGATGTATTATCCATCGCTGAGCAATGGATTACTATGTATTATCAATAACCGAGCAATGAATTATTATGTAGTGTTATTACAAGTAGTCTGGACTTAAGACCACGGCTGAATCCCAAAATTGACTGATTAACTCAGTGGTTCTCAACCTTTTTAATGCCGCGACCCCCAACCGGTCGTAAGTCGAGGACTACTCAACCGGTCGGAATTCGAGGACTACTCAAATGGTGCAGCACCATTTGCAGAATGGGACTTTTGGCGGGCTCAGCAGGGCAGAGACAGCCTGGACAATTCCTATTGGCTTTGGAAAGCCAATAGAATGAGACTCTATTCAAGAGAGCCTATTCTATTGGCTTTCCAAAGCCAATAGAATAAAAGGGAGGAGCACAGCTAAGGAAAAGGGGGAAAAAATGGCGGACTGCGTTGTTTGGTGACCCCCGTGAAATGGTCGTTCGACCCCAAATGGGGTCCCGACCCACAGGTTGAGAACCACTGGATTAACTGATTTGGTCACAAATGGCGATCCCACGAGTCCCGGGACTCTGCAACCGTCCTAAGTACATTCCAGCTGCCAAGCTCCCCAGGTCTGATCCCGCGATCTTGAGGATGCGGCAACGGGTATGAAAAAATGGCTGCTTTTTCCGGCGCAGTTGCCACCGTCAAATGGTTATAAGCCGGGGACAGCCCACCTAAGTGTGTTGGCGTAATAATCTCAACCAGTCGCGTGACTCCGTCGGAGACCGACGGGTAACGCTGTTACCTGAGACTCATGTGCCTAGAGAGCTCCTGTACGATGCGGTCGTGCTTCCCAGTGGATGAAAATTTTCCCAACCAGCTTGGGAAACTCGGAAACTCCTGCATGTAGCCTCTCATCAGCTCCCCGGGCAGGACACTCGAATAAATGGCCTGAAAAGGAAGGAAAGAGTTTTAGCACATTTTCTCTTTTTGATAGGATGCGGCTGAAGAGGTAGAGCCAAAGAACAATTAAACAAAAAGATCAAAGTTGAAATTAATAATCCCATCGGCGATTCAGAATTACTCTTGTTTCCTCCTGCCTTTCTTCAATTAAAGAAGAAACGAGGGACGGCGAGTTTTAGTCCTGCCTTAGGCACGAAAGCCGGTTGGGTGGCTTTGGGCCAATCACCAGGAGACGGTGAGTTCTAGTCCTGCCTTAGGCATGAAAGCCAGCTAGGTGACTTTGGGCCAATCACTAGGAGACTGTGAGTTCTAGTGCCGCCTTAGCCATGAAAGCAAGCTGAGTGACTTTGGGCCAATCACCAAGAGACGGTGAGTTCTAGTCCCGCCTTAAGCATGAAAGCCAGCTAGGTGACTTTGGGCCAATCGCCAGGAGATGGTGAGTTCTAGTTCTGCCTTAGCCATGAAAGCAAGCTGAATGACTTTGGGCCAATCACCAGGAGACGGTGAGTTCTAGTCCCGCCTTAAGCATGAAAGCCAGCTAGGTGACTTTGGGCCAATCGCCAGGAGATGGTGAGTTCTAGTTCTGCCTTAGCCATGAAAGCAAGCTGAATGACTTTGGGCCAATCACCAGGAGACGGTGAGTTCTAGTCCCGCCTTAAGCATGAAAGCCAGCTGGGTGACTTTGGGCCAATCACCAGGAGACGGTGAGTTCTTGGCATGAAAGCCAAGTGGATGACTTTGGGTCAGTCAGTCTCAGCCCAACCAACCTCACATGGTTATTGTGAGGAAAACGAGAGAAAGAAGGAGCATATGCCACCTTGAGTGATTTATACAAATAATAAAGATGGGATCAAAATAAACTTAAAATCCATCCCGTGTCATCAACGCCTATCTAACGACATAGATACAAATCCCTTGGGTTTTCCAGAGAAAAATAATGAAAAATGAAAATAATAACAATAATGAATCTGAGCTGGCTTTTAAGACGACCGCCTCGTTATTTTTAGAAGAAACAAAACGTTTAGCTGCATCGATAATCGCTACGCAGAACCCAAGGGCAGCGTATCACCTGCGTGGGTAAAAGGCTCCAGTTTTGCCGCGTGCGAATCTGGCGGTCGACTAAATCGCCGTCGCAAATGCTGTCCGCCGTTTTGCTAAGTAAGATGAGTTCTTTCGCCACGTTGTTCCTGAGAAAAGACGGGGGAGATGGCTCGCGTTAAGGCCGATCGTTTATTACCGCCCTGAATGCCAAAATAACCGTCCCAAAATTTATTTATTTATTTATGAGACTTATATACCGCTTTAAGTGCGAGCACTCTCTAAGCGGTGTACACCAGTAAGCAAAGTATATATATATATATATATATATTTACATTGCCCCCAACAATCTGGGTCCTCATTTTACCTACCTCGAAAGGATGAAAGGCTGAGTCAACCTTGAGCCGGTGAGATTTGAACCGCTGACCTGCTGAACACAGTCAGCTAAAGTGGCCTGCAGTACTGCACCCTAACTGCTGCGCCACCTCGGCTCTTAATAATAAAAATAACGGTCAGAACTCACCTGGCGGCAGCAGGCTTGACGTGGACGTAGTTCTCTTGGACAAACAGAGGTCCCAGGGAATAATCGTGGAAGAACAGGTCTGCTTTGTCTATGAGAGACATGTGAGAAGCCTCTTCTGCCTTGGCAAAAACCTTCCTCACCACATCAAAAGGCCCCTGGAGGAAGGAAGGAAGGAAGGAAGGAAGGAAGGAAGGAAGGAAGGAAGGAAGGAAGGGTTCCGAAAGTCATTGAGGGAAACTGCAAAGAGGGTAGATCGAAAGCACGCAAATCGCTGGTCAAATGAGCTGGCATTGGCACCAAACAACCCCCCTTACAACAGGTGAGTTAGAACTTCATTATTACATCAAGGGGCTGTTACATCCCTCACCAGAGGTCTCCAACCTTTCTCCGTTGGCGGACCGGAGGGACCGGGAGGGGCGGGGAAAGCATTTTGCGCGCCCGCACGCGCCAATGGGGCCGTGAGCACGCCCGACGCACACGGGGCGGTGTGAGCGCCCGCGTGACACTTGCTAGCACCGCCCCGTTTTTGCTCAGCGCTGTTTTTGTGCTGCTCCATTTGCACAGGGGTGGTGGTGCGAGCGCGCGTCGGGGTGGCTGAGTGCACTGGCCAGCCTGTTCTGCAGCCCAGTGGCCAGCAGGTCGTGGCCCGTTAGTGGGCCACAGGCTGTAGGTTGGAGACCCCTGTCCTACACCCATGGTTCTCAACCTTTCCTTAACTCAGTTTAAATCATAACATTTTTTTCAAGCCTTCGTGGACCCCGTGATGATCTTGCGGGGCCCCCAGGGGGTCTGCGGACCACAAATTGACAACCATCGTCGATCACCTTTTATGATTTGTTTTATATATATATATAAATTATGTTAATATATGTATGTAAGAGAAAATCAATATATATATATATATATATATATATATATATATATATATATATATATATATATATATATATAAATAAATTGATTTTCTCTTACATACATATATTAACTTTTCAACCAACGTGCTGTCTGGATTTAAAAACGCTAATACATATTCAATTCCTAATCCTTCATTCTTTCCTCTAGCCCAGTGGTTCTCAACCTGTGGGTCGGGACCCCATTTGGGGTCGAACGACTATTTCACGGGGGTCGCCAAACAACGCAGTCCGCCATTTTTTCCCCCCTTTTCCTTAGCTGTGCCTTTTATTCTATTGGCTTTTGAAAGCCAATAAAATAGACTCTCTTGAATAGAGTCTAATTCTATTGGCTTTCAAAAGCCAATAGGAATTGTCCAGGCTGTCTCTGCCCTGCTGAGCCCGCCAAAAGTCCCATTCTGCAAACGGTGCTGCACCAGTTGAGTAGTCCTCGACTTATGACCGGTTGGGGGTCGCGGCATTAAAAAGGTTGAGAACCACTGCTCTAGCCATTGATAAAATAAATCCCAAGTTTGGTAATATTCTGTTTCTTCTTTCTGTTTCAAATTCATGGTTAATCTGTCCATCTCTGCACATTCCAGTATTTTTTGATTATTTCTTTGCTAATCTTTTTTGGCACCTTTTTATGATTTGTATCCTCCCAACGTGCAAAGTGGAGGAAAACAGATCCCCAACTCTCTCAAACATATAAAATATGCTGCATTTAGAAAGTGAAGAACTAAGTATTATTATATTGATTTTGTGGCTTTAGTGTCTGAGCAATCCACCATCTCATAAACTTCATTAGGTCACTTTAGGAGAATCCCGAATTCTAATTTTTTGCTCTGTGCTACTGACAAGACTCGGGTTTTTTTTAAATGTCTACAAAGTACTCAAGTTGCTTAAGGAAAGAACCGACGTCTTCCGCAAACTTGCAAACCACATTTTCTGTGCTATCAAGGATTGCATTTCCCCCCTCCCCTTGCTCGCATCGTAATCATGCGTCATTTCCAAATCCGTCATTTCCAAATCCGTCGACAAGCATGGATTTGCTTTTTTTCTTTGGTAAAAGTGAGGTTCTTAAGCCTTATCAAAACCCGATGTCTGTAGTAGTTGTCCTTTTTAAAAAATGTGATGATTTAATGTGATGGGAAATAGCTAACTTTTAGGAGATAGAACAAGATTATATTTAAATAGATAAAATGTGCATTTTGGATGTTATAGGTTTGTTATGAAGTGAGATAAGGGAAATTTTGGTTACCCAAAGTCTGAAAATTATAAATGTCAAAGGTTAAATGGGAATATTGATAAGAAATTAAAAAATGAGTAAAAATCAATTAACAGGATGTGGATTGTTTATGAAGACTGAATGTAATTAAGATATGTATAAGCTAAAACTGTATTGATAAATTTAATAATGATGTTCTTATTGAGTTGATATAATTAGAAATGTACTAACCTGAATATGAGACAGTAATTGTTAAGGGAAAAAGAGAAGAAATATTTGATGTTGTAGCCTGAGATTTGCATTAAGATTCTGTTATTGAGCTATTGATTAACCCAGTCACCACGTTGCTTTTTAAATATTCAAATGTAAAATTTGGAAAATTAATATTTTTTAAAAAGTGATTAGTATCTAGGCGCCACTGGGTTTTTCGTAGCAGCATGCAAAACGGTCCAAATTTAAAACCCTTAAGAGTTTGTGTTTTTTTTTGAAAAAAGGTCCTCTTTGAGATCAAATCGCAGTTCTATTCCCGCTAAAGCAGCGGTTCTCAACCTGTGGGTCGGAACCCCATTTGGGGTCGAACGACCATTTCACGGGGGTCGCCAAACAACGCAGTCTGCCATTTTTTTCCCCTTTTCCTTAGCTGTGCTACTCCCTTTTATTCTATTGGCTTTTGAAAGCCAATAGAATAGACTCTCTTGAATAGAGTCTAATTCTATTGGCTTTCAAAAGCCAATAGGAATTGTCCAGGCTGTCTCTGCCCTGCTGAGCCCGCCAAAAGTCCCATTCTGGAAATGGTGCTTCACCAGTTGAGTAGTCCTCGACTTACGAACGGTTGAGTAGTCCTCGACTTACGACCAGTTGGGGGGGTCATGGCATTAAAAAGGTTGAGAACCACTGCGCTAAAGGCTTTCTGATGATGCTCCAATGCTTTCAGAATTATTCTGGGCTTAAAAGACCCATAGGTAGAGTTGGGTACACTTCTGCAAGTGTTCCTTCTAGGCAGATCTAAACAAACCCCCTCCTGGAGCTGGGCCTTCAATCCAACTTACCAGCTTAATATCCTTTTTGGCTTTGCCGGCGTCTTCTTTCACACCGTCGTAAGTCAAGGTTTTGTCTCTTGCGCACCACAGGCTGAGATTATGCAATACCTGTCAACAAAAAAGAAAGCACAAAGGTTCAAGCTTGCTCACAATGCCTTGAGGAGTAAGGGGGGAAAAAAAAACACATTACAATTTTCCGATAAACCAATGATGCAGATCGATTATTTCCCACCGGTCATCTCATGGTATAAAATAATTCCTTTCTTTTACCAAAAAAACCCCCCACCCCATTTCCATATCAATGGTTCCTGCTTCCAGTTGCATCAAGGTCTTCCCCCTGAAACTATAAATGGAATTTATATATATAAATGAATAAAACGAACTTCCCCACCCCTAAGCCCCACTCTGAGGACGCTGGCAGAGGACCAGCAAAAGCTAAGTTATTTTAACCTTGTATATAACTGTTTTTTATTGTTTTAAATACTGTTTTAACAATAAATAACTAGTTTATAACCTTCCTGGAGATTGAGGATTGCATCATTGAAAACAAATATGCCTGAGATTCGTATTTTTACAACCATTAAGGATATGTGTGTGTGTGTGTGTGTGTGTGTGTGTGTGTGTAGGTCTTTGGTTATTTGGGTTTTCTCCTGTGTCAAATTGGAAGTGTCTTGGCGACATTTTGATGGTCTCATTCGTCATCTTCAGGCTGGTGTTTTTGGCTTCGTGCTCCTAGAAGCACGAAGCCGAAAACACCAGCCTGAAGATGACAAATGAGACTTCGTCGAAACGTCGCCAAGACACTTCCAATTTGACACAGGAGAAAACCAAAATAACCAAAGACCTACATACAAACACCCGTGAAAACCTCAGAAAACACACATATATATATAAACAGCTACAATCATACATTGCTCCTAGAAGCACGAAGCCGAAAGCACCAGCCTGAAGATGACGAATGAGACTTCGTCGAAACATTGCCAAGACACTTCCAATTTTACGTGGGAGAAAACCCGAATAACCAAAGACATACATACATACATACATGCATACATACATATCAGATATCAGCCTTGACAGGCAACTCACTTGTCTGATGTCCTGATTAGCTGCCAGAATGAGTTCGCTCATTGCCGGCGGTGGAATCTTTAATCCTTCTTTGAAAGCGATGGACATCATGGCGCCCTGCAAAAAGTCATTTGTTTTGTGTTGAGCCAATACCGAAAAGATGTCCACATGTGTAAGGTTTAGAGGCGAGATGCCACTTGGCCTTGGTGTCTGCACGCCAATTCCTGAGCCACAGGAGCCTGCATGCTGAGATATCCACAGCGATGGTCCGAGCAGTGTATGGTGCTGGAGAAGACTCCTGCGAGTCCCCTGGACTGCAAGGCGATCCAACCGGTCAGTCCTAGAGGAGATCAACCCCGACTGCTCTTTAGAAGGCCAAATCCTGAAGTTGAAACTCAAGTATTTTGGCCACCTAATGAGAAGGAAGGACTCACTGGAGAAGAGCCTAATGCTGGGAAAGATGGAGGGCAAGAGAAGGGGATGACAGAGAATGAGGTGGCTGGATGGAGTCCCTGAAACAGTAGGCGTGAGCTTAAATGGACTCCAGAAGATGGCAGAGGACAGGAAGGCCTGAAGGAACGTGGTCCATGGGGTCGCGATGGGTCGGACACGACTTCGCAACTAACCGCAACAACAAATTAATCAGTAAAACTAGTTGGAAATAAAAATATATTTTAAGGGTGATAGACAAGCCCAAGTTACGAGAATGTTCTACGACGTAGGTCCCACCAACAAACCTAGAGGGGAAAGTAGCCAAGCTCATGAATGAGTTTTCTTCCGGTGGCCATTGGCTTCCACCGCTCAACGAATCACCTGTGGTCTCTAAAAGTCATCTCCAAGAAAATTGAAGAGACCAAAATAGGCCTCCTGAAAGCTTTCTTTACCTTGATCTGCTCCACCCTCGGCCTCGGGAAACGAAGGTCAAAACAGTAGTGGGCCAGAGAACGGATCTTGGGATGGTTCCGATCGTTACACATGCAAATGATTGGAACTTTTGTGTGCTTAATCAGATCTATTAGCTCCTACGGAGAAAAAAAAGGGGGGGAATATGTCGTGAATTACTCAACAGATTAGTTCTGCATTGACCAAGATCTAGCACAGTGGTTCTCCACCTGTGGGTCGGGACCCCATTTGGGGTCGAACGACCATTTCACGGGGGTCGCCAAACAACGCAGTCCGCCATTTTTTTCCCCCTTTTCCTTAGCTGTGCTACTCCCTTTTATTCTATTGGCTTTTGAAAGCCAATAGAATAGACTCTCTTGAATAGAGTCTAATTCTATTGGCTTTCAAAAGCCAATAGGAATTGTCCAGGCTGTCTCTGCCCTGCTGAGCCCACCAAAAGTCCCATTCTGCAAACAGTGCTGCACCAGTTGAGTAGTCCTTGACTTATGACCGGTTGAGTAGTCCTCGACTTACGACTGGTTGGGGGGTCACAGCATTAAAAAGGTTGAGAACCACTGATCTAGCAGATCAAAAGGCTGTCAGACGATTAAGTTTCCCAGACATTTTAAACAGGTAAATGAAAGCAAGTTTGACCTTTATTGTTAAGCTGCTCTTAAAGCTGTTGGCCAAATGGAAGGCATATTATAAATAATGTATTTCTTATATTGTCGAAAGTTATTGCTTTGTTTCTGTTTTAATTGGGACACACTGCCTCACCACAGGAAGCGTTGCACAAGTACATTTTAATAAGAACGTGTTATTAAGTTCTACAAATTCCCAATAGGAGCCAATCTTGAGGGCATCTGGATGGTGGTCCAAAACCAGATTAATACCAACCAGAGACAAAAAGGAATCCTTAATCTAGTCTGAACCGTCTCGTGGCTCACTGCTTGTGTGAACTGAGTGCATTGGTCAGCTCAGAAGCCACCTATGAAATAGTTCAGACCAGGGGTCTTCAACTTGGTCCTTGGATGACTTGTGGACTTCAACTCCCAGAATTCCTCAGCCAGGCACGCGTGCCTGGCTGAGGAATTCTGGGAGTTGAAGTCCACAAGTCATCCAAGGGCCAAGTATGAAGATCCCTGGCTTATATGGTCCACGCTGGCTGGGGAATTCTGGGAGTTGAAGTCCACCAGTCATCAAAGGGCCAAGTTTGAAGACCCTTGGCTTATATGGTCCACGCTGGCTGAGGAATTCTGGGAGTTGAAGTCCACAAGTCATGAAAGGGCCAAGCTTGAAGACCCCTGGCTTATATGGTCCACGCTGGCTGGGGAATTCTGGGAGTTGAAGTCCACAAGTCATCAAAGGGCCAAGCTTGAAGACCCCTAGTTCAGACCAATTCTAGGACTATAAGGTAGTATTTCATATCGTATTCCCCTAACCCAAGGGTTTCCAACCTTGACAGCTTTAAGACCTGTGGACCTCAACTCCCAGAATTCCCCAGCTGGCCGTGCTACCTGCGGAATTCTGGGAGTTGGAAGTTCACAGGTCTTAAAAAGTTGGCACGGTTGGACGCCTCCTGCTCTAACCCACCCCTTGAATTTGAAACATGCCTTTTCTTACCTGCTGGATTTACCTCCTTTACGTTTTTCAGTTCTCCATGTTTCTTTGAGCTCAGTTAAGATCTGGTCCAAGAATCCTTCAAAATCCCTTCCTTTCCCCAATCCCAAATAGCCCATATAAACATTCCTTTCCACGCCAGGGTTCACGTGTTCCTTACCTGTATCCCACCTCTGTCCTCGTTGCCAGCCATCCCGTCGACCTCGTCCATTATGAGGACGTGTTTTGCACTGACGGAGCGTGACGTCCCTAATGAGAGAGGGGAAACCGAAAGAAATTACCATGGAAAATCAGATTACCAAAGATGCAGTTATAGAACTGCTGCTGTTTTAACGCTGAATTATAATACACGGAGTGGAACAAGCAGTTGTGTTAAATGAGGAGCTGCCTATGGCCTTATGTGCTGGGCTGCCCTTTAATCATGACTAGGGACCACCAGCCTCCCATTTGGATTTTCCAACTAAACAAAAGCAAAATCCTGCAGTAGATAAAACGAGTAAGATACCTGAGCAGAATCCTTTGATGCTGGTGTTATTCAGAGATTCAGCCACCACCTCCTTCAGGCTGTTCTTGCTGCGCGTGTCACTCGCATTCAACTCCACGTAGCTCAAACCGAGTTCCTAATGGGGGTAAACAATGAAAACAACGGTAGCGGGTGAGGCCACCAATCGCATCTTCGGCACACCGGTTAATTTTCACAGGCAGACCGAATCCGATCCATCCCTTGACACGTTATTTGTTTCAGAGTAGCAATGGAAAAAGCCAGATAAAGCCGTTTTTTATTATTAAGCACATTACTAAGTATAATTGTGTCAACGGAGGCTGAAACGCTCGAGGTCTGCATCTTGGTTTCGTGACCGCAACAAATAGATCACGTGAAGTGTTAATACCACTTTACAAGGCCTTGGTAAAGCCACACTTGGAATACTGCATCCAGTTTTGGTCACCACGATGTAAAAAAGATATTGAGACTCTAGAAAGAGTACAGAGAAGAGCAACAAAGATTATCAGGGGACTGGAGGCTAAAGCATATAAAGAACGGTAGCTGGAATTGGGTATGTCTAGTTTAACAAAGAAAAGGACGAGGGGGTTGCCACAAAGAAGAGGGAGTCAAGCTTCTGGAGGCAGGTTGTTCCACTGGTTAATTGTTCTAACTGTCAGGAAGTGTCTCCTTAGTTCTAGGTTGCTTCTCTCCTTGACTAGTTTCCATCCATTGCTTCTTGTCCTGTTTTCAGGTGCTTTGGAGAATAGCTTGGCTCCCTCTTCTTTGTGGCAGCCCCTGAGATACTGGCACACTGCTATCATGTCCCCCCTCGTCCTTCTCTTCATTAAACTAGACATCCCCAATTCCAGCCACCGTTCCTTGTGTTTTAGCCTCCAGTCCCCTGATCCTCTTTGTTGCTCTTCTCTGCACTCTTTCTAGTCTCAGCATCTTTTTTACATCGTGGTGACCAACACTGGATGCCGTATTCCAAGTGTGGCCTTACCAAGGCAGTGTGAAGTGGTATTAACACTTCACATGATCTTGATTCTATCCCTCTGTTAATACAGCCTAGCACTGTGTTGACTTTTTGGGCAGCTGCAGCACACGGCTGGCTCCTATTGAAGTGATTGTCCACTAGGACTCCGAGGTCCCTCTCACAGTTACTACCTTCTCTCAAAGGTAGCCAAATGTTTCTGCAACTATTCGGTCTTTCGTGCAGATCAGATTTGCCATCTCTTGCCCTCGCAAGCAACCCGCCTCTGTGAAAACACAACTCACCTCACAAACTAACGATGCCGTTGTGGTTTTGCCTACTCCCGGGGCCCCGGAAAGCAAAGCTGCTTTGGACTGAGCGCCATCGTCTTTCCTTCCAAACTTCCCAGATTTGACTGTGGGGACAAAAAAGAATGGAGGGGATTGTTAAGCCAGCTGTGGGACATAGCCTGAGCGACAGGCGCAACCCAGCGTCTCAATTCAATAAAATAACTAACTCTGATGAGACCAGCCTAAAGAACGATTTTCACAGCCTCGGGAACACGCCATTATTCAAAGCTCTCTTGAGATCCATCATCCATTTGATAAAAGACAGCGAGGCAGTTTGGCAGGGGTGGCCGGACAAAAGTCCTCTTTTGCTTTCCTTTTACATGTTGCCACCAGGCCAAAACAAAAGAGGAACAGGCCGTGCGTGGATATGTGGGGCCTGGCGTTTTTAAGGACTTTGGGGCAAACTTGGAAGCAGCGATTCAAACTTCTGATGCTTCTTCCACTGGTATTTTAACCCTGGAATTCAACATGAATGTTTTAGAATTTATCTGTTCTTTCCTAACACTAATCTAGTCTATATTCTGTTGATATTCATGCCATTTTCACTTTGGGGAGGGTCTCGTAGGTTAAATGCCTTCCACTTAAAAGGTCTGCATCAACAAAGCCAGCATCTTAAGAGATAAAAATTATCCATGTTCTTGTGTTTGCACAAAATTGGAAAGCACTGAAAGCCCCCCCCCCCCCAAAGGGAGAGGTGATTGGGAAAATACTGGAATGTGCAGAAATGAATAGACTAACAATGACAATTAAAGATAAGACAGAGTCAGACTACTAAAAAAAAATGCAATTACCCTGTTGGTCTTCCGAAGAATTCTTCTGCCAGTTTTTAAGCCAACGGAGGAGTTTCTGAGCGCAGCTCTGCTCACTTTGCTGCCCAATGATGGCTTTGATAGATGTAGGCTTGTATTTGTCCACCCACAGTAACACTTCGCCTCTGTTTTTATTCGATTCGCGAACTGAGCTTTTTTCCTTGGCGGGAACTGTCTTCTCCTCCTCCTGGAGTTTCTGCTCAAAATCCAGCCCTCTCCTTACTGTCCCGGATTCCTGTTTGACAGATCTGAAAGAGTCTGACTTTTCCACCAGGGAGGTTTTCTTGCGGCAGTTGGAGTCCAGCTTTGCGGGGCTGACTTTCTTCTTTTCGGCTTTCGTTTCTGTTTTTGTTTTCTTGGCCTTTGAAAAAAGAAAAGAACAACGAAGGCAGTTCTTCACAAACTGACGTGAGGGCAAAAATCCCCCCAAAACCCAAGACATCATAAACCATGGAATGCAACGGCTCAGATTCATATATTAAGATTAAGCCGAAACCAAAATTGCAGTGTCCAACTTGAACCTAAATCACTGCAGTGCTTAGAAATCTATATAAATAAAAATGTAAATGTTCGTTTGTTCAAAATCTTAATTCTCTGAAAGTTCTTCACCGATTGTGTTGAAATTTTGACATAACGTTGCATTTGAATACGCGCGTGTTTTTATATACCTATATTATATAAATGTCACACCTGTTACAGGTAAAAACATGCTTTTTTTGAAAAACAGCGCCATCTGTTGGACGTAAAAACACACGCTACGATTTCAGACAATCTCTATATCTGCACAGACAATGGAAAAACAAAAAATATTGTATACCCACAAGCATTGTGAAATTAAACGTATTACAAATGTGCACTTTCTCTTTTCTTTCTTTTCCATTGAACCAGACTGAGCCACAGGAACGCGTGGCTGGGGACAGCTAGTCCTAGAATATTTTGGGAGCGTACTAGGAAGTTCGCTCGATTATATTATTCATGCCAAGCCAAGGGAATTCTCCCCGTCTCTTTTTGCAACTACCACGTTTATTATGATGGTTTAGTTTATAGTGGAGGGACTAGGATCTGTTTTCTACACACCGGAGAGGCAATAGGACAGGGGTGTCCAACCTTGGCCACTGTAAGGCCTGTGGACTTCAATTCCCAGAATTCCCCAGCCAGCCATGAAAATGTATATTTCAAATGCTTGTTTAGGTTATTTATTTGGCACACACATTCTTTGCTTCAAAAACCTCTCAGATGTTATCCGTCACGCATTCAGCTCTAAACTGGCACATTCTTTCTTTCTTTTGTTCCCCTCCCGTATCTGAAACATCGTACCATGATTTAGGGAGAAAGCAACAAGTTCTAAGCCCATCCGTGTCCAATCTCCCCCGCTTTTATTTGGTTTATACCTTGATTTTCTGCCCTGGCAAAGCACATAAAAGTGAGTTTCAGTACCTCCGCTCTGTCTGGATTTAATTTCATCCTGTACATCTTTCATTCACAAACTCGGGTATTCTTCAAGAAACCAACTACGTGAAATTAGATGGCAATGAGCAGTAGATCTGAGTGTTATTTTCACAGCCTCAAACACCCTGGTTTAATACGGACTCTGACGGGCAAAGGGATACGTAGGATGGACCCTCTGGGATGCTACAAGTCAACAGCCTAGGTGTCAAATAATCCTGGAGCACCACAAATAGGCACAGTGTGGTGGGCTCACACCAAGTCCAAAGCACCTAGTCCAAATGTCTTCATCTCCCTTCTTTCCACAGTTGCATTTAAGCAAATTCCCTCTGGAGCACATGGAAAGAGACAAGTTTACTTTTCTCATTTCTTCCCGATGTAGTGGATTCCTCTCACCTTCTAGATGAGGGGTCCCCAACCTATGGGCCATGGCCCGGTAGCAGGCCTTGGCCTGCTGGCCACCGGGCCGCAGGACTGGCCAGTGCGCACACATTTGCACGCACACCCCCTCACACCCACTAGCACTGTGGCCGCAGGGCGCAAAAACAGGACACCCCCATGCCTTGGGGCGCAAAAACAGGATGCTGCCACCGTGCCTCGGGGCGCGAAAACGGGCCGCTGATACGGAGTGCAAAAATAGGGAACCGCCACACAGTGGGGCACAAAAAGAGGCCGCCGCCGTGCTGAAAGATGCAAAAATGCATGCTGCCGCGCTGCGGGCCAGAAAAAACAGGCTGCTGCCGCGCTGCAAGGCGCAAAAATGGACGCTGCCATGCCGCGGGGTGTGGAAACAGGACGCCGTAGCGCTGCAGGGCGCGGAAATGAGGCACTGCGCTATGCAAGAATGGGGCAGGGTTAGTATCACACGGGTGCTAGCCCCGCCCCACTTGCGGCGTGCACACACGTGTAAAATGCTTCCTCCTCCCTTTTCCTTTGGTTTGCCAACTGAGAAAGGTTGGTGACCTCTGTTCTAGAGCAACCAGGAAACCCCAACCCTCTTCGCATAACCCCTCCCTCAGTGACAGCATCCTTTCCCAGCTCTTACGCGACAGGTCTTTTCCTGGCTGTCAATCGTCCTCCCCGCCTAGCGCAATTGTGGGAATGGCAGGAGGTAGGAATGACGAGCCGGGAATCACTCCAGTGTGTACCAACCTCTGTTTCAGCTGCTATTTCATACTTGGACCTCTTCCCTGGAGTATTTCGTATCAGGTTGAACAGCCCGTCTTCATCAATAATCTTCGTTCCTAAAGCTGATGCCTGTCACAAAAATTCAGACTTGAGGCTAAGTCCGATTTATACAGTGACTGTGCGTCAAAACATTTGGAAAAACGAATAGGAGGAGCTCGACCTATTCTCCAAAGCAATCAAAAGCGGGACAAGAAGCAATAAATGGAAACTAACTAGTGGCTAGAATGCAGAACTGCAGGCTACTTCTGCCGACTGCCAACAGTTTGGCAGTTCGATCCTGACCGGCTCAAGGTTGACTCAGCCTTCCGCGGTCGGTAAAATGAGGACCCAGATTGTTGGGGGCAACAGGCCGACTCTGTAAACCGCTTAGAGGGCTGTAAAGCACTGTGAGGTGGTATATAAGTCTTATTGCTATCTTCCTTCCTTCCTTCCTTCCTTCCTTCCTTCCTTCCTTCCTTCCTTCCTTCCTTCCCAGTGATTAGAATGAGTATTGCAGGCTGATTTTGCTCACTGCCAGCAGTTCGATTCTCTCCAGCTCAAGGCTGACTCAGCCTTCCATCCTTCTGAGGCCGGTAAAATGAGGATCTCCGATTGTTGGGGGCCAATATGCTGACTCTCTAAACCGCTCAGAGAGGACTAGTTAAGCACTGTAAAGCAGTATATTCGGTAAATCTAAGCGCTATTGCTATTGCTCTCTTAGTCACTTACCTTTTCACACTTGGATACGCCACAGTCTCGGCCTTTAACAAGGTAATTTGTCTTCTTGCTGATGTTTCCAGTGACTTTCCCCCCGTACCGCTCAATCAGAGACTTGGCCTCATCGCGTTCAATAGATTCCAGGACTCCGGTGATCACAAACGTCATGCCTTCCAGGCAATTTTCACCGCCCTAAAAATAAAAAACAAATACCAAAGGCGGGAGAAAAAAAAAGGAATGACCGGAAGTATTTGGTTTATGGCGCTAGCCAACTGCAGAGCCTAAAGCAAGAGTAGGCAACCTTGGCTCTTTTATGACTTGTGCAATACCCAGAATTCCTGAACCAGCCATGCCGACTCAGGAATTCTGGGAGTTGAAGTCCACGAGTCATAAAAGAGCCCAGGTTGCCTATCCCTGTGTCTAGAGAGAAACTTCTGAGAACAATTAATGAAAGGACGAGCTGTTGACTTGCCTCAATTTGTTTTATACTTACTTGGGGTATTTCTTTTGAGCCGAGGGCCTTCGGACCTTCCCGGTTGAGGAAGCTTCTGTAGGCCGTGTAATTGGTCCGCTTCTTTTCCGCCGAGTCCTCGGGACTGATGGACTTCAAAAGAAAAAAACAAAATCTACTGCACAGGTGACATTTGTCTAATTCTGCTTGGGGCCATCTTGGCAAAGGAAGTGGCATTAACGAAGAAATAAACATGGTCCACGTAGACCTTAAGAGGGTGTAGACCTTTCAAGTTCTACATTCATTCAACACTTCCATCCCAACCCCTTGAAGCGTTGACACCAGGGGTGTCCAATCTGGGCAATTTTAAGACTTGTGGACTTCAATTCCCAGAATTCCCCAGCCATAGGTCTTAAAAATGGCCACGGTTGGACACCTCTGGCTTACACAAAAGAGACTCAAATGTGTTTTCACCTGCGGTAGTTACTGAATCACACTGGATCATTTACTGTCCTTATATGGACTCTTCTGTCAGTGATTATGCATTCATCCCCATGGATCTAATATCCTTCGGCATCCACTGCGCCCACCTCTCACCTTTTATGACTCCCCTTTGACATCCGAGTCTTCCTTTGATGCATTTCTGTCCACTGGCTTTGCCAGCAAAATAATAGTATGGCCACCTATAACATCCTTCTCCTAAATGATCCTACTGGGGTCCTCGTTTAGAGACAGAGTTAAAACGGAACTCACGAGAGCCAAAGTCACCTGAAGCAGAGATCTCAAAAGCTTAATAAATAAAGAAGTGATTTTGGTGTTGCACGTAGCACTTTGTTCAGTAAAGCAACGTTACTACCTTAAAACCTTTGGTCCCTTTTTTTACTTTGCATACGGCTCAATCCTGGACATAGCGCCACCAGCTTTTTTAAGGTATCAACTTGTATGTTGATATACGATATGTGTATATGTATGTGTTTGTGTGTGTGTGTGTATGTTTTGTATACACATATATAGCTCTCATCAGCCAGACATACCTAGGTTTGAATCTCAGAAGGGTATGTCTGACTGATGAGAGTTAATCAGCTTAAAATAGCTATTCCAGTCCCCCTTAATTCTGTTAGCAATCCAAAAATTTAGGAAATGTATGCATGTATGTATCTGTGTATGTATGTATATATATGTATATGTGTATGTATATGTGTATATGTATATGTATTTATATATGTATGTATATATATATATATACATGTGTGTGTATGTATGTATAAAAAAGTTACTGAGCTTTCATCAGCCAAACTACTGACATCATCAGAGTTAGAGTGCTAGGTGATTAGAAAGCTTGCCTATATATAGCTGCCTGTCTCACCTAGCTGTATATAGGCAAGCTGTATATAGGCAATCACCTAGCATTCTAACTCTGATGACGTCAGTAGTTTGGCTGATGAAAGCTCAGTAAGTAACTTTTTTACTCACAGGCTTGTTTATATTAAGCAGTCCTGTTTATTTTTATCCTGGTGTTCGTTTTTCTTATATTTTTATTGATATGCCCAGGATTCGCATTTTTAATGATATTAAGGACAAGTATGTATGTATGTATATATACTGCTAAAAAAAATAAAGGGAACACAAATGTATAGGATTTTATATGTTTGGGTTCCCTTTATTTTTTTGAGCAGTATATATATATGTGTGTGTATATATGTGTGTGTATGTATATGTGTATATATGTGCGCATTTATATATGTATGTATGTGTATATATATGTGTGTGTGTGTGTGTTTATGTATGTATGTAGGTCTTTGGTTATTCGGGTTTTCTCCTGCGTAAAATTAGAAGTGTCTTGGCGACGTTTCGATGAAGTCTCATTTGTCATCTTCAGGCTGGTGCTTTCAGCTTCGTGCTCCTAGAAGCAATGCTGAAGATGATGAATGAGACTTCGTCGAAATGTCACCAAGACACTTCCAATTTTACGTGGGAGAAAACCCAAATAACCAAAGACCTACATAGAAACACCCGCGAAAACCTCAGAAAACATGTATGTAAGTATGTGAGTCTCTCTGTGTGTATATATATATATATATATATATATATATTACATGTGTGTATATATGTTTGTATATATATATATACACACACACATTCATATACGTATACACACACACACACACACACACACATCTCCCTTCTCAACTGATGATGTTACCTAGTTGGGTTATAAAACATCTGCAACCCCCCCCCCAACAATCACAGAGAACCCCAAACACCCCACAGACATTCACGGTTAACGATCACACCAACCAAAATCTGTCCTCAAGATGCTCCTACCTTGGGTTGTTCAGGAGAAACCTTCACCTTTGTAGGTGTCTTGATTTTGGGCGAAATTGTTTTCCCGGCTGGAGTTACCATTTCTTTCTTGAGGCTCTCTCCTTTGGAGGTCCCATTTTCGGTTTTGATAGCTCCGGCTTTTGGCTTGAGTGGAGTTAACCTGGAGGAAGCCTTCGACGACCCCCCTGTAGTCCCCCAATCCACCTCCTCCTTCGTCGCAGAAGATTCTGGGTGGAGAACACTCTCTGACTGAATCTGATCCTTTGCGGAATGAGGTTGAGAATCTAAAGCGGAAACTGTGGGTTTCCCTGTAAACAGAACGACAAGTTTTAAGGATAAGTGAAGGTGACCAAAACCCTAACAAAGCCTTTTTTTAAAAAAAAATAAACAATTACCTTTGTGAGCCTGGTTATTTTTTTCTCTTTCCCCCGATTTTGACTGTTGACCTTCCTCTTTTCGAGGCTAAAATAATAAGCAGACATTGTGTCTTGGTTTTTGTTTTGCTGTCATTGGGATGAAGTTATTACTGGCAACAATTTCAGAACGTTTCTACAGCTGATGTTTTCCTTCCCTCCAAACCATCAAAGCAAAACATTCCAACGTTCAAATGGATGCATTTCTTTCCCTCCTATTAAGCAGAGGCTGATCCAGAGCACAAGTAACGGGATTCAGTCCAGACCCTGGAGATCCGGCAGAGATACCAAGCCTCTTCGCTCGTCAGGCCCGGTGGGTGAAGCAGTTCAGGGGAAGGAGAAAATAGCCCGAAGTTTCAACTCATCCCATGTCACACATCAGTTACAATAGATAGCGATTAGATTATGTTGTTGTTGTTAGTTGCAAAATCGTGTCCGACCCATCGCGACCCCATGGACCACGTTCCTCCAGGCCTTCCTGTCCTCTACCATCTTCTGGAGTCCCTTTAAACTCACACCTCCTGCTTCAGTGACCTCATTCTCTGCCGTCCCCTTCTTCTCTTGCCCTCCATCTTTCCCAACATCAGGCTCTTCTCCAGTGAGTCCTTCCTTCTCATTAGGTGGCCAAAGTACTTGAGTTTCAACTTCAGGATCTGGCCTTCTAAAGAGCAGCCGGGGTTGATCTCCTCTAGGACTGACCGGTTGGATCGCCTTGCAGTCCAGGGGACTCGCAGGAGTCTTCTCCAGCACCAGAGTTCAAAGGCCTCCATTCTTTGGCGCTCAGCCTTTCTTATGGTCCAACTTTCACAGCCATACATTGCAACTGGGAAAACCATGGCCTTGATTATACGCATGTATTTTATAGAAGCAAATATTTCCCACTTACCTTTTTCTTTCTGGGTGTCTCATCCAGCATAGCCAACGTTTGTGCAAATTCTTCATCTTCGTGCAATTGTCTTTCCCACTGCAAACAGTGCAAAACCTAGTGTGAAACTGACCGTTTTAACACATGGCTGGAGAGTAAAAAGAGGTCATCTCTGTCTGCCCAAGAAGGACTTAGCGGTGATGTGATGGCAGTTTTCCAATATCTAAGGGGCTGCCACAAAAAAAGAGGGGTTCAACTTGTTCTCTAAAGCACCTGAGGGCAGGACAAGAAGCAACGGGTGGAAACCAATCAAGGAGAGAAGCAACATGGAATTAAGGAGAAATTTCCTGACAGTGAGAACGATTAATCAGTGGAACGACTTGCCTCCAGAAGTTGTGGGTGCTCCAACACGGGAGGCCTTTAAGAAGAGATTGGACAACCATTTGTCTGAAATAATCAAGGAGAGAAGCAACCTAGAACTAAGGAGAATTTTCCTGACAGTGAAAACAATTAATCAGTGGAACAACTCCAGAAGCTGTGGATGCTCCAACACTGGAGGTTTTTAAGAAGAGACTGGACAGCCATTTGTCTGAAATGGTATAGAGTTTCCTGCCTGAGCAGGGGGTTGGACTAGATGACCTCCAAGGTGCCTTCCAACTATTCTATTCCATTCCATTCCATTCCATTCCTATTATTCCTTCCACTATTCTATTCTATTCTATTCTATTCTATTCTATTCTATTCTATTCTATTCTATTCTTATTATTCCTTCCACTATTCTATTCTATTCTATTCTATTCTATTCTATTCTATTCTATTCTATTCTATTCTATTCTATTCTATTCCTAATTCTAATTCTAATTCTAATTCTACTCTACTCTATATTCTTCTTGCCTGAGCAGGGGGTTGGACTGCAAGACCTTTAAACTCCCTTTCAACTTTGTTATGCTGTTATTCTGTACTTTGCCAATGTGATTTGCTTGGTGACCAAGAGGTATTAAAGTACATAATGTCACTGGAAAAGCGGAAAGATTTTTAGGGTGTTTTTTTTTTTCTTTTTTGCATTCTGAGAGATGGTATCAATTTTGCCCCCTAAAACCATGAAAAATCAATCCAATTTTTGGGAGAAGGAAGGAAGGAACGCCGCAGGCTGCGAAGGATTGCAACATACCCCTTACTGGGATGTGGGACTGAAGGCCACACATCGTTCACAGAAATGAATAAACTAACACAGTTCCGAAATTCAATTATTTCCTGGTGCAAATATAAAACCAGATCCGATTTTCAATGATTCAGTTGAACAGAGTGAGGAAAAAAAAAATGACTCAATTTTTTTCCTTCATTTCGCTTCAGCACAATACAGCATCCTGTTATTATCTTTATTTATTGCTTTTTGGGGGGGGGAACTAACCTGTTTCCCCCCCCCCCCCAAGTGACACTGGGAACATTACCCAAATTTAATTTTGGGCCAAGTATAACATCAAAACCTGCCTCCCCACACAATTCGGATACATAACATTATTAGCAAAAATCCCACAGGCTCTACGTTTATGATCGTAAGCGGGAGGTTATTCAGCTAAAGAGATGGCGTTCATATTTCTTATTTTAGTATGAAATTGAAGCCAGACCAAGAGTAATTGTGGAAATCAAAGAAATGAAATGGGACACGTATACCTCTCTCTCTTTCTCTCTCTCTCTCACATGCATACCCAGACCTTTAATCTTTCCAAATTAACAGTTTGACAACTCTGACAGCATCTTAATTCTGAAAGGCACATAGAATTATTTATTTTCTTTGTGCACTGTGACTTTTTTTTTTTACGGCATGCCTAGGAAAAATTGAAGCTCTACTATAACCATCTTCTTCCCCCAGTACAGAATTGGATTGAAAAGAATACCAATGTGAAAATAAAATTATACATAATGATAATGTAAAACTGGGAAATGCTATTTACAAAAGCAAAGCCATTTAGTCCTTGGGAGGTGATGATCACCACTAACCCAAAACTGGGCTCATATAATCCTAACTCCCAAGCAGAAGTTTCATATATTACACACTCTTTAATTTCAATCCATTTGCATCAAAGTCTTTGTCTAGGGCAGGGGTAGGCAACCTCGGCTCTTTTATGACTCATGGACTTCAACTCCCAGAATTCCTAAGTCAGCTACGCTGTCCATGAGTCATAAAAGAACCGAGGTTGCCTACCCCTGGTCTAGGAAAATCTTGGTTACCCAAGGTCTGAAAATTCTGGATATCAAAGGTTTAAATTGGAATATTGGTAAGAAGCTAAAAATTATGTAAAAATTAATAACAGGATATGGACTGTTTATGAAGACTGAATGTAATTAAGATACGTATAAGCTAAAAATTTATCGATAAATGTAATGATGATGTCTTTGTTGAGTTAATATAATTAGAAATGTACTGGTTTGAATACGAGATAGTAAACGTTAAGGGGAAAAAGAGAAGAACTATCTGATGTTGTAACCTGAGATTTGCACTAAAGATTTTGTTATTGAATTACTGATTAACCCAGTCACCACGTTGCTTTTTAAATACTCAAATGTAAAATTTGGAAAATTAATTAAAAATTTTTTTTAAAAAGCCTTTGTCTGATGGTTGATTGCAAATAAAAGTTATTTGATTTATCCAAGCCCAAGATTGCTCCGAAGGAGTTGAATTCGTAAGAGAGATTCAGCTCTCTTGATGTCACATCGATGCCAATGTTGGACACCATCTTCAGATATAATAATTATGGAAATCTCTTATGTTACCTTAGACTTCTCTTCCAACTGTAATTCTTTAGCGATAGCCTCATCATTGATGGTGGAATCCTTGCTTGGCCACGGCTGCATCACACCGAAAGGAGAACCACAATGAGATTAGTCCCACGTTCATATTTACGTTTGTCCTGTTAACTCAGGACAAACGTTTAAGGCTGGCTTGCTCTTTTGTTTTCTCTGCTGGACACATGCTCAAAAGCACTCTTCTCGTGTCCGTTGGCTTGTTTGTTTATTCATTCAATTTATAGGCTGCTCGTAACTCTGCCAAGCCAACTCTGGGCATCTGCCAGTCCCACCACAAAACAATTACAGGATCAAAACGTGAAAACATCAGGCGTTAAAAGCCGCAAGGTCCATATGATGAGAACCAAAGTCTAACTGAACCGGATCACAGAACGTTGTCGCCTCTACAGACAGCCCTCGACTTTCAGCGCTTCGTTTAGTGACCGTTCAACGTTATAACGGCACTGAAAGAGAGTGACTGATGACCGTTTTTCACATCTACGACCGTTGCAGCATCCCCAATGGTCACGTGATCCAAACTGAGAGGCTTAGCAACTGACATGTACTTATGACTGTTTGCAGCATCCTTGGGAATCACGTGATCCCTTTTTGCGACTTTCTGACCAGCCAAGTCCACGAGGAAGCCGGATACGCTTAACGACTGGGTTACTAACTTAACAGATGCCAATGGTTCACTTAACAACCGGGGTAAGAAAAGTCGCTAAAATGGGGCAAAACTCACCTGGCCAATGTTTCACTTAGCGACATAAATTTTGGGCTCAACATTGGGGCTCCAGAACTACCTGTAGCCTGTTTACAATCATGGGTGAATTTGGGAGAATTCCTGGCTCGTAAATGATCTGCAGCAAGGAGCGGGACAAGCGATACGCTGGCGTTACTCACTTCTTTTCGTTTGCTTGATACCAGCTTCTTCTCCGACCGTTGAACGCTGGCAGTCCCAAAGTAATCAATGACAGATGTCGGCGTCAGTTTCACCGGAGATAAGGGTTTGCTTTTGACTTTTGGTTTGGGAGCCGGCTGGGATATTCCCGTCGTTCCTGGATTAATCTTCACCGACGTCTCAAACTGTTTCACTTTGGGGGGGTCTTTCTTCTTCACAAAGTCCTCGTCTTCATCTGAGTGACAAAAACAAAATGGGGAGAGGGGGGGAAAGAAATGTTTAATGATTTTCCAGGAACAAGATGCCCGACAAGGTCAGCGGGAAGCTGATTCTAAACTCGCGACGTTGTCAAAAAAAATAAATAAATCACAAAGACACGGAAAGCGACTGATCAGATCGTATGAAGAAGATCTCTCAATCTGGTTAGGAATTTCCTGAATATATTGTCCTCTGCGAAAGGAGAGAGAGAGAGAGAGAAAAAAAATCACCTCTATTTATTTAAATAGATTCTGCTTTTAAAGTTGATTGGGATGGGGAGGGGGTGGCAGTTTCAAGAGCAAAAAAAATCTCCTCCAGGAAATTGTTTAATCTTTAGCCGCTGACTAAAAGAAGAATTCCTACCAATTCAAAATGGGGAAGCCATCCCATGTCTTGAGTTTTAATCGGAGACAATTTAAATACTCGGGATACAGTAGTTACGCCTCTTCAGAAAGAAAGCATACCACATCGGTGATGTCTCCATTAGCAAGGCATGTTTACCAAAAAATAAATGCTCAAAAATGACAATTAGCGTCCTTGGCAGACTCATTTTTGTTCTGAAAACGCATATTTATCGATTCCAACTTGAAATATTATTGTATCTTTATTCAACCACTACTCTCCAGTCAATGATATGGGAAGAGGTTTTTGTGCTTTCCTACGGCGATGTTCAAATTGCCTGCAATTCTAGCATGAGTAATTGGAGTAACATGGTTACGGCGCTCTTAAGGGAAATGTCAAACTCTAGGCTATAATAAAAACGTAAAATTGATCCGCTCAATCTATTCAGGCCTTAATCCCATTGTTCACGCTAAAGAAATTTAAACAGATATGAATACATCTTCAAATTACTGTGACAGCAATTTTGACCATGGCCGCCTGCTGGCTTTACGGTTTATTTTTAAAATATTACTTCCTAGTGTTTGCTAGCGATTAAGTCCTAGCAACTTTAGGAAAAAAAAAAAAAAACAGGCAGTGTAACCTTTTTTTTAAAAGCTCACAAGAGCTAAAAGGTAAATAAGACATCTTCTAAAAAAAACTGGAGCTGGTATTACAGTTGAAATGGAGTGGAAATAATTCTAATATTTTTTTATTTATATATAAACATTATATATATATTATGTACGTATGTATTGTTGTGTGTGTATTTGTGTATATATATGTGTATGCATGTATGTGTATATGTATGTATGCGTATATGTATGTATGTGTATGTCTGTAGGTGTATATGTATGTGTGTGTATGTATGTGTATATGTATGTATGTATGTATATGTATGTGTATATGTATGTATGTGTATATGTGTATATGTATGTATATGTTGGTATTTTTTTCAAAACATGGCTGAGAACCAACAGACATAATCAGGCGTGTGGGTCAAATTAAGCTGTTCACTGATAGGGAATTTGTTCTTATCACTTGACAAAACTATTCTTTACTTCACGGCTGACCTCGACCAAAGTTTTTGCACCCGCGCAGAAAGCCACTTCCAAGAGCTCAAGGTTGTTTACAGTGAGACAAAAGAAACAATACAAGCTGATTAAAAAAAAAAATACAATGTTAACTGTAAACTTTCTGTCCTTATCTAACTGAGATAGGTGGCCCTTTGATCATCATTAAGATTGAAATAGCCCGGGAACAATATGTTCCTCGGTGTCTTCAGGCCAAGAGGCTGGGACACCACCCCTTATCTTGGAATGCAGAGGGTTGCAAAGACAATCCCAGGGAAGGCACGAGAAGTTTGCTGAGATTTGCAAGGAGGCGATGTCATCCCGCACCTTTGCCCTCTCGAATTTCATAACCAGCAAGGATACACACAGCAGAGTGGCCTGCAAGCTTGTTGCAGAATTCCACACGCACCCTTCGGAAGCCACAAAAGGATGCATGGGGAGACAAGTTGAGATCATCCCCACTGGAGAGGATGACTTTAACTGGTCTACAGTCCTTCTAGTACAGGGCTCTTCCTACTTGGCCCTTTGATGACTGGTGGACTTCAACTCCCAGAATTCCTCAGCCAGACTCCATTTTGTTTGTTAGATTTAAGACAGGGGTCTTCCTACTTGGCCCTTTGATGACTGGTGGACTTCAACTCCCAGAATTCTGGGAGTTGAAGTCCACCAGTCACCAAAGGGCCAAGTTTGAAGAGCCCTGTTCTAGTAGAACTAATGAAGCCCACGTGGGCAAGATGCCAGACCAGGTTGTCTAGGAATGCCCAAACCCATCCAGAACGCGTCACTAAGGAAGGGAAGTTGAACTATCGCAGGACCAAAAGGCAGCGGAAGACTCCGCTACAATCCAGCAACAAACGATAATGTCCAGGAATTCAGATTGCAAATCGCAATCATGTGACTGCAAGTCAGTGTGTGTGTGTGTGGGTGGGTGTACGGGTGTGTTCAAAATTTTGTGGCTGACGAAGAGTTAAAGGGAGACTAGTATAGCTATTTCAATCTCTTTAGCTCTCATCAAAGAGCTTGAAATAGCAATACTAGTCTCCCTTTACCTCAGTGGTTCTCAACTTTTTTAATGCCGCGACTCCCCAACCGGTCGTAAGTCGAGGACTACTCAACTGGTGCAGCACCATTTGCAGAATGGGACTTTTGGCGGGCTCAGCAGGGCAGAGACAGCCTGGACAATTCTTATTGGCTTTGGAAAGCCAATAGAATTAGACTCTATTCAAGAGAGTCTATTCTATTGGCTTTCAAAAGCAAATAGAATAAAAGGGAATAGCACAGCTAAGGAAAAGGGGAAAAAATGGCGGACTGCGTTGTTTGGCGACCCCCGTGAAATGGTCGTTCGACCCCAAATGGGGTCCCGACCCACAGGTTGAGAACCACTGCTTTAACTCTTTTGTCAGCCACAAAATTTTGAATTTACAGTGATCACAGTAGGGACGTCTGCCTGCAAAAAAAAATGCTCCTAGATTGGAGCGAAACGCAGAGCAGATTGCTTTGTTTCAAGTTCAACAGTTCAACAATTTCAACAGTTACATGTAAGGAAGGTAATTAATAAGCCCAGCTAAGATTCATCAAACTTAAATCCGCTTTTCTGCATAATGTTTATGCCAGATAATTTCCTCAAGCATCGTTTTACAACCTGACTTCAATTTAAACAAACCCAAAATATATATATTTCCTGTGGAGCATAAAGCTCACACATTAGTAATATCTTATGGTGGATTACCTGTTTCTGAAACGTAAACTACGGGGTCCTTCTTTAGCAGCTTAGTAGGTTTTGAAGGCAACGTTCTCTCTGGCGGCTTCGATTTTTTTATTAACGGCACCTCCTCTTCCGAATCTGAATTAAACAGCATTATTATTATTTTTTTTAATGTATCCGCCCACAAGTAAAAAAAATACCCTGAGAGAAACCCTTCCAGGGTCCCTTTAGATTTAAACCAGTCTTTCTCAGCCTTGGCAAATGTAAGATATCTGGACTTGGACTTCCAGAAATTGCCTGCCTAGCCTAGGTTAGAAGTCTTAATAACCTTCAAACTAATTACGACTAGGCAAATGGATTTTTTTAAAAAAAACAAACAAACCTGAAAATCAATTTTTTGAGAGTTTTTAAAATTGATTTTTGCAAGCAGATGGGGGGGGGCAGGATTTTTTTAAAAAATGTGCAAGTGACTACAGCCTCAGCTAGGTTAAAATTCTTGTCTGCAGAGAAGCACTATGGTAATAGAAGCACCATAAAAGAGACTAGAGATTCACCTGTCTGGGATGGTATAGGTTCTCCTGTTGGCGCAGAAAGCTGGACTAGAAGACCTCCAAGGTCCCTTTCAGATTCTATTCTGTTCTGTTCTATTCTATTCTATTCTGGTTCTGTTCTGGTTCTATTCTATTCTTATTTTCCAATATCTATTCCAGTCTACCCTACCCTATTCTATTCTTCATTCCTCTATTCTGTTCTATTCTATTCTTCATTCCTCTATTCTATTCTAATCTATTCTATTCTATTCTTCTATTCTATTCTATTATTATTATTTTCCAGTATCTATTCTAGTCTACCCTATTCTATTCTATTCTTATTAATTTCCAATATCTATTCTAGTCTACCCTATTCTATTCTTCATTCCTCTATTCTATTCTATTTTATTCTATATTCTATTCTATTCTATTCTTCATTTATTCTACTCTACTTCTATTCTATTCTATTCTATTATTATTATTTTCCAATATCTATTCTAGTCTACCCTATTCTATTCTTCATTCTTCTATTCTATTCTATTCTATTCTATTCTATTCTATTCTATTCTATTCTATTCTATTCTATTCTATTCTATTCTATTCTATTCTTATCATTATGGACAAGATCTTAATAATCCTTTGTGATCTAGTTCACAGAAAGTCCCTGAATCAAACCTCAGAATCAATGAAAGTACAAGAGATTAAAAAAAAAAAAATCAGAGTCCTTGGATGACATCTGCTAGTTAAACAGATGACAGTGAACTGAATGGGAAAAAGTCCAACGATGAAGTAGTGATACTACTTTCTGGCCACGATGGCTGACACTAATGGAAGCTGTAGCTCAAAGCAGCTGAAGGGCACTGCCTGGTAGAAGGCTTTAAAGAGAAGTTTTGTCCAATTAATTTCATGTGAAACCAGTAATTTCATTGTGAATCCAGGGAGGCCTTAATTCTAGATAACACATCTTACATAATTTAGGAGTGAAAATTATTGGAGGGGAAAAAAAAAACTATGGAGATTTTCAGTTGTCTCTCCGGAAAAACCTCAGCAAACAGAAATCACTGCAGAGATGTAAAATAAACCTGGAACATTAGTTTTCTGGCTTACCTGAATCATAGATGATCCTCTTTTTCTTGTTCACCTGTTTTTGCTTGAAATCACCTTCGTGAGACGAGCTTTTCACCTAAGGGAAGGGGCTGGTTATTCATCAGAACAATTCTGTCAATATTAACCCGATTATAAAACGCTGCATGAATCTGTAAACTTACCTTGTGGAGGATCCATTTTTATCACCCTAAACCAGGGGTAGGCAACCTTGGCTCTTTGATGACTGGTGGACTTCAACTCCCAGAATTCCTGAGCCAGCATGGCTCAGCTTGGAAACCTCTCCCTTTCCCCTCAGCATGGCTGGCTCAGGAATTCTGGGAGTTGACGTCCCCGAGTCATCAAGGGGCCATAGTTCCCCCATGCTGGCTCAGGAATTCTGGGAGTTGAAGTCCACCAGTCATAAAAGAGCCAAGGTTGCCTACCCCTGGTCTAGGACCTCCTGCTTGAGCAGGGGGTTAGACTAAAAGACCTCCAAGGTCCCCCCTTCCAGCTCTATTCTGATGGGTTGATTGATCCTCCGCTAACCCGCAAACCATTTCTTTGATTTATATAGCTGCCGATCTCACAGGGAGACGACTTAAGGTGGCTTACAATAAGTAAAAGCAACACAAAATATATAATTTTAAGGACAGCCACACATGAAGCCTCATATAAAATGAGCCAGCCAAGGCTTGACAAATTAAAACACTCCAGGAAAAGATATTGCTGCAAAAAGATCACAAAGCCGTCACCGAAGTCTGAAATATTTTAAACTAAATACGATATGCTCACCTTGCTTTCCTTCAGTGTCGACGTTACCCCGGCATTCCTCTCTTTATTCTGGGATTTTTCCTTTCTCACAAGGCCACATTCAGGCTTCTGTCCTGGGTTTACAACTCCAAAGAATTTACGGATATCCTGGTAAAAGAATCCATAAAGCAAATCTTTTCTTCCGCAAAGTTTTTCAGGATGAACATTTGGCAGACAATTCCTATCGCGGAGCATAAAAAGTCTGCCGTTTAAGTGCTAGACTCAATTTTAATTTTCCAAGTTACTGAGAATACTACAATTTGCTAGCACATTTAAACAGTCTTAAGCTCAGCTATATACTGTAAATCCTGAATCTCTTAGAAATATTGACTATAATTCAATCAGTACTTAGGATATGTTTCTTTTTTTTAGCCCTTTGCTAAATAAATCATCCAGAGGGAAAAAACACTATGAAAGCCATTTATGTTCAAATGTATAGGTGCCATTTCAACAGATACAATTTGATGGTTAAACTCCCAACAAGTATTGGAATAAGATTGTTATTAAAACAAGTTTTGGATCAAGATGGATGTACCGTACATCTTAAGTAGGATTTAATGAGGTTTTTTTTTTTTAAATAGCAGGTTAAAGACCCTAGAGCAGTGGTTCTCAACCTGTGGGTCGGGACCCCATTTGGGGTCGAACGACCATTTCACGGGGGTCACCAAACAACGCAGTCCGCCAATTTTTTCCCCCTTTTCCTTAGCTGTGCTACTCCCTTTTATTCTATTGGCTTTCGAAAGCCAATAGGAATTGTCCAGGCTGTCTCTGCTCTGCTGAGCCCGCCAAAAGTTCCATTCTGCAAACGGTGCTGCACCAGTTGAGTAGTCCTCGACTTACGACCGGTTGAGTAGTCCTCGACTTACGGCCAGTTGGGGGTCGCGGCATTAAAAAGGTTGAGAACCACTGCCCTAGAGTATCTCTGGCTAAATTGTGTTTATCTAGTGAGGATGGCAGCTTTAACCGATCAGATTTTCAACCATTTATTATTGAGCTTCTATTTTAATGCTTACATTTTGGGGGAATAAGATCTGATTTCTCTCTTATTTGGACCTTTTTGAAGAGAAACTATATAACACCTTTGAAATCTTGGCAATTTTTAAAACGCCAAATGCATTAAACCAGGAATCATTGTTACTTATTTTGAAAACGCTTAGCTGCACTTAGTAATTAATTGCTAAACAATTATATTTTTGACCCTACATCCCACATTAAGTTGATCCTTTTTATAATTTGAGTTTGAAAATAGCAGGGGAGATTTTCCATTGGAATGCCCCTAGGCTAAGAAATTAGTACATTAAACGTACAAGATTTTAATCCATGCTTAAGAAGAGATTACTTTTGCGTTGGACTTACATTAGCTTGAAAAAAAATGATATCACTGAAGCATGTATTAACTAACTAAGCAGTATGGCTTAGAGGCTGTAGAGTCTCTGAGATGCCTACAAGTCTATCTACACTTTGACAAAATCCAAGAATGCAATTTTATGAAGTATTACAATTTACCATCAAGTATATTTGATTTGTAGAAGGGAGAACTGGTATAATATTGAATTCTGGAAAGTCAATGGGTCCATATATTTAAAAAAAAATGTGAAAATGTACTTCCTATGATTTCTGAATGAGTTCATCAAAAAAAAAATTCAGGTGTATTGGACCTCCCCAGAAATGTTTAAAAAAAGGAAAGGATATTAGATTTCTTATAATCTAATCTAATTATATTATTCTATTCCATTCCATTCCATTCCATTCCATATATTCTATTCTATTCCATATTCTATTCATTATTCTATTCTATTCTATTCCGTATTATATTCCATTCCATATTCTATTCCATTCCACATTCTATTCTATTCTATTCTATTCTATTCTATTCTATTCTACATTCTATTCTATCCCATATTCTATTCTATTTCATTCTATTCCACATTCTATTCCATATTCTATTCTATTCTATTCTATTTTCCAATATCTATTCTAGTCTATCCTATTCTTCATTATTCTATTCTATTCTATTCTATTCTATTCTATTCTATTCTATTCTATTCTATTCTATTCTATTCTTCTACTCTACTCTATTCTTCATTTCTTCTAATTCTCTTCGCTTCTATTCATCTCTCCACAGAATTGATGTGTTTGGTGAAGGCTTCCTGTGTTTTAATCTTGACCCAAGTATCGCCCACATACCTATACTAGTGAGCAGGTGGAAACCCTGGGAAAGAGTTTAGGTCTTCCGTTTCTACCTCTTCCAAGTAGAGCAGTGGTTCTCAACCTGTGGGTTGGGACCCCATTTGGGGTCGAACGACCATTTCACGGGGGTCGCCAAACAACGCAGTCCGCCATTTTTTCCCCCCTTTCCTTAGCTGTGCTACTCCCTTTTATTCTATTGGCTTTTGAAAGCCAATAGAATAGACTCTCTTGAATAGAGTCTAATTCTATTGGCTTTCCAAAGCCAATAGGAATTGTCCAGGCTGTCTCTGCCCTGCTGAGCCCACCAAAAGTCCCATTCCACAAACGGTGCTGCACCAGTTGAGTAGTCCTCGACTTACGACCGGTTGAGTAGTCCTCGACTTACGACCGGTTGGGGGTCGCGGCATTAAAAAAGGTTGAGAACCACTGAAGCAGAGATTGGCCCCCATTATGTCAGTACCTATCCTTTGTTCCTTCTCTCTGACATCACAACTGATGAAGCTTCCTGGATGAGAAGCAAAACATTTAAGTTTTTCTTCCTCAAGTAAAAAACAGCCCAGTTGCCCTTTGAAAAAAAGCACCTTTTAGTCTTATTGCTATGCTTTTGTTTTTGGTTCAAACAAACACACGTGTTAAAATAATTTAAAACAAAAATATTACACTGCATAACCTCTAAAATGAATTATGTCTCTAAAATCTACCTATCTATCAAACTTAGGAGTACAGCAAAGCAGATAAAAACTATGGAAAGAAAAACAATGTTTGATTTTAAGCCACAAAACCTTGACACGAGTGTTATCTACTTCTGAAAAGTCTTTTGTTCTAAAAAAACAAGATAGCACAAAGCATTGCCAAACAATCCAGATTTAGTCGGCTTAACTGATTCTGTAAAAGTATGAATAATTATTGCATAGATCTTTTTTCTGTTAATTAGAAAGGGCATTTTATGTTTAGGATTATTTAATTACCATCACATATTTTGGGAACTTTTTTTCCATGTATAATAATTATTCAGTATCTTTTCTTTTATATTTCCGTATTTTGATAAGTGAAATCAATAACAAAAAATATTGAAACTTATTTATTTCCAATAAATTTGTTTGCTGAGGAATTATTCCATTGGATTCAACAAAATTTAGGACTGGACTATACACACAAGCAGCTAATCAAACAGTAAAACAGTCAGTGCTATTTCAGTTCAAGAAGTGGAAAACGTATGTTCAAAGGTAGACTCATTCATTCATTCACACGGAAAGCAAATAATTAGCAGGACGTACTATCTCCTTGTGAAAATTTTCTGGACATGGAAACAATGGAATGGAAACACAAATATATGCATTTCCAGAGATGTAACCTATAACATATTAAAGTATAATCCTTTAAAAATGTTATTCTCCATGGCTTCTGCAAACTGTGAATGCTATGATACATAGGCCAACAAACTCTCCTTAGATTATCATTCTACTTCAAAAGCAGAGTAATAATTCTAATATTTCCAAATCAATATGTACATATTAAAGGGCTTAAATATGATTCATGCATCTACTGCCACTCAGTTAAAGTGCCTAGCTATCCACTGCATTTTATGGTAACTACATGCTTTTGAGCTGATAATCAAAAATCAGGTCACATTTATTTACCTTAGGGTGCTGGTCTATATTATCCTACAAAGAGATTTAAATGCCTTCTCATAACCAATTATATATTTCGTATTTTATGCTGATGGTCATTTAGTCCTGGATGGAACTGTCAAAGTTTGATAAATGTTTTTGCAGTTTCTTTTTTTATATATAAGTACAGCAAGCATACATTCTTTTTAGAAAGCAAAGATAAAAAATAATAGTGCAAGACAAAAATGAATGGTCAGATGTCTTTCTCTTCCCACCTTAGAAACGAAAATGTTTTCTCCCAGTTTTACCAATTTTATCAGAGAGCGAAGACAAGATTAAAGAGCTGTATACCAGTGAAGCCAAAAAGTATGTTCTTTGGCACACATCCATATTTACAAATACAGAGAAAAGCTAAATGTTGATCAGAGGAAAGAAGCCATTTCCAAATATTACTCAACAGAAAAAAACAAAAGCACTGGAAACTGAAGTAGATATCAGATAAATTATAATTATTCCAAAGCAGTGAGAAAATATCCACTTTCCTACATGGTTGATTTAAAAAAAAAAGGATAAAAATGTATGTTATGTTGCAGTTTTATCTTTTCCCGATGCAAAGGAGGCACAATAATGCTTTGTGTTATGTACTACATAAAATTGCCACTGAACACAGCAAAACTGACCCTGTGTTCAGTTGGTTGACATTATGAGCATCCTTTCTCACCTAATTACATACAATTGCATAAAACATATCAAACTGAGATTTTAGAATATCAAAATATCATAAAATCTAAAAATTTCGACTGTCAGCCTGTCTTGAAGGTTGCTAGGTTCCTAAGAGACAAATGAGAGACAAATGTTGCGAAACCACTATCTATATTTAATAGAGTATACAGTGATTGTTATCTGCAAACATGATAACAGCCATGTTTACCAAGAAAGTCATTCCTACTGGGTTCACAAGGACTGGCTGCTAAAAATGCATGCAATTGAAGATTTAATCTATCAGCACTGATAATAGTCTGTATCCTTGACCTATATCCTTCTGAACCCAGACAAGATGCTCAGAGACTAACTAGAGAAAAACAGGAAGCAGGATACTTGACAAGCTAAGTTTGCAATGTTGCTCATGATAAAATCTAAAAAGCAACAAACAGGCCACTTCTAAACATAAATCTGTACTCATTTTAAATTTACAGGCATCTGTGATCGTTTCCACTCCATTCTACGTAAGGAGGATGTCTTTTTATCCATTTTTTTTTAAAGTATCAACTGAAGAAAAAGACAGACTGTTGAGGACAAATGCTCTCATCCTAAACAGCTTGGGTAACCTATTTTAGAATTAAACAAGAGACAATGGAGACAATGAATAATTCCTTACACATTGCTATAGAAGCAAAGCATATAAAAGAGAGATGTAGGAAAAAAATGAGCTCTCCATACTGACAAATACTTCCAATTTGCAGCCATGAAATAAATCCAAATTGCTGAAATTGGCCACCCAAGAAATTCCAACAAGCTCTGATTTGCGGTCAGGAATATTTGGCATCTCTGTGTTTGTGCAATTTTAGCAGATGAGTATCTCTAAAGGCACAGAGAAAACAGTGCTGATACACAGTCTCCTTATAAATACGGAGAATGGGACAGACAGACATGGAAGTTTCTGTGTGCTAAAATTAATGTAGGATACAGGTAGTCCTCGACTTACAACAGTTCATTTAGTGACCATTCAAAGTTACAATGGTGCTGAAAAAAGTGACTTAGAACAATTTTTCACTTACGACCTTTGTAGCATCCCGCTGGACACATGATCAGAGTTCAGATGCTTGGCAACTGGTTCATACTTATGACCGTTGCTGTGTCCCGGGGGGGGTCATGGGATCCCTTTTGCGACCTTCTGACAAGCAAAGTCAATGGGGAAGCAGGATTCACTCCAACACCCGTGTTATTAACTTAACTGCAGTGATTCACTTATCAACTGTGACAAGAAAAGTCGCAAAATGGGGCAAAATTCACATGTCTCATTTGACCACAGAAATTTTGGGTTCCATTGTTGTCGTAAGTTGAGGACTTACCTGTATTCGACAACTCTCAGAATTCTGGGAATGTCTGTGTCCTAAAATTAATGGAGGATATCCAACTTGTCTGAAATGGTATATAGGTTCTCCTGCTTGAGCAGGGGCTGGACTAGAAGACCTCCAAGGTCCCTTCCAGCTCTATTCTATTCTATTCTATTCTAAACTCCCAGAATTCCCCAGCCAGCAAGTAACTTATACAAAGCCACAAAAGCGGGGCAATACAGAATAAAGCGAGCTGGAAGGGACCCTTGAGGTCTTCTAGCCCACCCCCTCCTTGCTCTAAAAGTCAATATATTGATGAATATTAAAAAGGCTAGCTTGACTTTCTTTCCACCTGGCTTTGGATTCCTGCTAGGACCGAAACCCAAATCTCTCCCGGACCGAGCCTGAGACAGAATAAATTGAAAATTTCAGCGGAATAAAAAAAAAAAGGGGGGGGGGAAAGGAGAGGAAAGCAAGAGCCCCGTTAAAGATTACAGCCCATGCGAGCCCCCTCCCCTCTTGAAGCCGGCCAGCCCTGGCTCCCGAGACCCCCCCTGACGGGTCCCTAGGGCCAGGCCCAGGCGAGCAAGCCGGCCACGGCCGCTCTCACCATGCTCCGGCCTGACGGGCTGCCCGGGCGCCGCCACCGCTTCCCTTCACGACGCTTCCCGAGGCGGCGGCGCGGCGGCCATCTTGGCGCCAACGGCTCGGCGCATGCGCGCGGATGACGTCACGGCGTGGGCGCGCGCGAAGTAGGCCTCGAGTTCTCGGCCCCGCATCCCATCGCTGAGGTAAAACTGAGGCACCCTACCGCTCCACGCCGCTCCGGCTTGATTCTCCTCGGTTGAGGAAAGCGGGCCAGGATGGATGAAGGGGAATCGAGGAAAAAAAAAAAAAAACAAGGTCTGCCGTTCTTCCGGGCGACCGTTAGAGGGCCACGGCGTTGGGCTGTGGTGCTGCCCTCTAGGGTCCGGCTGAGGTATTGCAGCCAAAATGGCGTGGCTGTGTCTAAATCAGGAAATGGAGCAGTCATCCAGGTGCGGTTCCCTGGAGGTGCAAGATTAGAAAACTTCCGGGATATCATATGGAATAAAAATATATCCCAGATTTGTAGGGACTGATGGGATACAGGTTTTATACATATATATATGTGTGTGTGTGTGTATATGTATGTATGTATATATATATATATATGTACATATATATATATATATATATATATATACATATATATATATATATATATGTATATATATATATATATATATATGTATGTTTTCTGAGGTTTTCGCGGGTGTTTGTATGTAGGTCTTTGGTTGTTCGGGTTTTCTCCTGCGTAAAATTGGAAGTGACACTTCCAATTTTACGCAGGAGAAAACCCAAACAACCAAAGACCTACATATATACACACACACACACACACACACACACACACAGTATACTAAAAATGTGATCCCGAGTATATCCTGGTGTTCGACTATTTTCCTCAACACACACACTCACATATACACACACACACACACACATACATACATACATACATACGTACACACACACACACACACAATCAGCTCAAAGTAGCTATCCCAGTCCCCCTTCTTTGTTAGCAATCCAAAAATTTAGGAAATACACACACACACATACATATATATTAAAAAGAATATTAAAAATAGAAGCATGATTCCTGGGTGTGTACATGGTGAGAACAAAATATGATCACCAGGAAAAGTTAAAACTTCAAAAGTTTTAATATAAAACAGAAGTTTTAAATAAAAACATTAAAAGTTTTAATGTTAGGTTGCTAATTTTTAAAACTTTTAATGTTTTTATTTAAAACTTCTGTTTTATATTAAAACTTTTAATGTTTTAACTTTTCCTGGTGATCATATTTTGCTCTCACCATATATATATATATACAGAAAGTTTTTCAGCCAGTCTGATTGATTGTCATATACTCCCTTGACTCGGCTGACAAAGAGGGGAGGAGAGCCTGTGGCCTGGTGGTTAATACAACTGCCTAGCATGTAGACTACCCAGGTTTTGAGTCCCATAAAGGGTGTGGTTAGCTGATGAGGACAAATGAATCTGAAATACCTATACTAGTCTTCCACTTAAAATCTTTAACTCTTGTCAGCAAAAAGAAATCTGAATACACACACACAAACACATACATTTTAAGATTGGTGGACTTCAACTCCCAGGATTCATAGCTTAGCTATTCAAAGCATAACAGTCTGGGGGATTCTGGGAGTTGAAGTCCACTGGTCTTAAAGTGGCCAAGGTTGGCCATCCTTGTTATGGTAGAATTCCCTTATGGAAAACATATTTTAAATTAAATGGTTGTTTAGCTTATTTATTTGGCACACACCTTCTTTAAGACCCATGGACTTCAACTCCCAGAATCCCCCAGCCAGTTATGCTTTGAATAGCTCCGCTATGAATCCTGGGAGTTGAAGTCCCCCAATCTTAAAAGTGGCCAAGGTTGGACATCCCTCAAATACATAGTTAAACTGGGATACAATCGATAAATATGTGTGCCTTCTGGTCAGACCTGGCTTCTACTTGGACTTTCTGCAGGTTTTTAGCAAGGTTTGGACTGCCTTCTTCCCAAGAGTGAGAAGCAGGGACATGATGCTGTCAACCGTGGTCTTGTTTTGCAACCTGATTGGGAAGGATTGGACACTGATTTACGGTAACGCTCCTCCTTTTCATGACTGATTTGAATTGTTGGGGAGAGATGGTGGGCCCCGTCTCCTTGAATTCCTCTCTTAAGCTCTGCAGGGTTTGACCTTCTCTCCTTTTCTGCTTCATATCCACATGAAACTCCTGGGTGAAGTCATTGGTTGCTTTGTGGTCTGGTCTTCTTGCTGGCGACAGCCCAGTTTGGTCAAGGGAATCTAGACCAGTGGTTCTCAACCTTTTTAATGCCGCGACCCCCAACCGGTCGTAAGTCGAGGACTACTCAACCAGTCGTAAGTCGAGGACTACTCAACTGGTGCAGCACCGTTTGCAGACTGGGACTTTTGGCGGGCCCAGCAGGGCAGAGACAGCCTGGACAATTCCTATTGGCTTTTGAAAGCCAATAGAATTAGACTCTATTCAAGAGAGTCTATTCTATTGGCTTTCAAAAGCCAATAGACTAAAAGGGAGTAGCACAGCTAAGGAAAAGGGGAAAAAAATGGCGGACTGCATTGTTTGGCGACCCCCGTGAAATGGTCGTTCGACCCCAAATGGGGTCCCGACCCACAGGTTGAGAACCACTGATCTAGACCAAAGGAGGACTAGAATTCACAATCTCCCAGTTCCTAGCCTGTTGCCTTGGCCTCAAAGTAATTGTGGTCAGCTAGGATCAGTTACGTCCCAACGGGGCTTTTTCACGAGGCAACTGGACTTCCTTGTTTTTCTTTGAAGATGTTTCGCTTCTCCTCCAAGAAGCTTCTTCAGCTCCAACTGGAGGGTGGGGAAGGGAAGTCAGAGCTGAAGAAGCGTCCTGGATGAGAAGCGAAACGTCTTCAAAGAAAAACAAGAACGTCCAGTTGCCTCCTGAAAAAATACCTTGGGATAATCATGACTTGGACAACTGAGACTCTCCATAGACATTTAGGATCAGTCATATTAATAAATCTTGGGAGGAAGTCACTAGATCCTCTTTGGACGTGTAGGGAGGCACCTGAGGCGCTTTGGGCTGGGGGAGGGCTTAAAAAGTCATAGTGCTACAAAAAGCTATAAATATCTCACATACACACACTCCACACACTTCGTGGCTTTGTCCTGTGTTGAACCGTAACATGCGGCGATCCTAAAAGCTGCTACAGGTAGTCCTCAATTTAACGGCTACAATCGAGCCCAGGATTTGCATTGCTAAGCGAGACAGGGCTTTGCCCCCATTGACGACCGATCTTCTCACAGTTGTTAAGTGAATCCTTGCCGTTGTTAAGTTAGTAACACGGTTGGTAAGTGAATCTGGCTTCCCCCGTTGACGTTGCGGGTCAGAAAGCCGCCAAAGGTGATCACGTGACCTCGGGACACGGCAACCGTCATAAAGACGAGTCAGTTGGCAACTGTCTGAATTGGGGTCACGTGACGCTGGGGATGCTGCAACGGTTGTGTAAAAAAAATCATCATCACTTTTTTCAGTGCCGTTGTAACCTTGAACGGTGACTATACCTGTAGCACTGTGTATAGCTATCTCTCAGATAAACACACACGCACACACTTCGTGGCTATGTTGAGCCCTAGCATGGCGAGATCCAGTTGCCGTTCAAGATGGTCCCAGTTCATATTTATAAAAGGTATTCATTAACCTCGTTTGCAACATGAAACAGGAACTGGCACAGATTCAGTTCCTCTTTATTCAAAAGAGAGGAGATAAGAACTTGAATGTTGATTCACAGCTGACCCTGATCAAGCAGAAAACTTGATTTATGCTTCCATTTGGAAAGTTCAATCTTCAATCCTTGGATGGTTTGGGGGGGGGGAGAAAAAGAGAGCTTATTTCTGCTTTTGTATCTCTCACTCTGGAGATGATGTGAAATATTTCTGTCTCTATTCTAGCAAGGGCATCCCCACCACATATTAGGCCCTATTGTGCTTAATTACAACAGTAGAACATCTCACAAGACAGAGTGGAAGGCTGCCTTGGTAGAAGTCTCTGTGTACTTTGCTTAAAACATGCTGGAAAATAACATCCTTGTGAGCAGCGATTGTATATTTCTGTTCCAGGATGACATCTTTCCCTTTATATATATATATATATATAAGTGATAGAACTATAGGCGAGGATATATGTTGATAAAATCTGCAAGACGCTTTTCACCACCAATTCTTACACTTCCTCTTTAGTGGAGAGTTCTCTTTATGGAATTAATTTTCTAGAGTAATGAACAAGCAGGATTGTAATTTATCTGTTTGTAATCTGTGGAGTTGTTTCCTATAATTTCCTGTTTTGTTTTTTTTTTTAATGTTATACATCGTCCAGATTCTTCATGAGTCAGGCAGCTTTATGTATATGTTTATTAGATTTTTAATCCCACTTTTATTACTTTATAAGTAACTCAAAGTGATGAACACGCACAATCCTCCTTCCTCTCCTATTTTCTCCATAACGACAACCCAGTGAGGTGGGTCAGGCTAAGAATAAGTGACTGGTCCAAAGACACCCAACTGGTTTTCATGGCTAAGGCAGGAAGAGAACTCACATAAGCTAGCACTTTAGCCACCACACAATACTGGCTCTGAGCAGGGGGTTGGACTAGATGACCTCCAAGGTCCCTTCCAACTTTACTACTATTACTATCATAACTTTGACAAATAAATAAATGTATATTCCGAAAAACAATAACATCACTTACAAATCAGAGAAAACAATCAAGGATTTGTCCGATGTCAGATTTAAAAGAATATATTTTTCTGCCTCATCTGAAGATGGGGGGGGGAGAGATGAGGATCGGCTTGTTTTGGAGTGCACGCATACATTCAATTACAGCATCCAGAGGATACCAAAACCCATCTGCTTTTGTGTAATTGTTGCCAAGGCCACAAACATTTCCAACATCCAGAGATACGAACAGCTGCTGACAAAAACGCGTACATTGTGAACCTCGAGGGCTTAAGAGGGGATTTTTTTTTGTTTGTGTGTGTCCTTCTTGTTGTTGTCATCCGTTGCAGCTTTTGCCCTTGCAGCTGCCTTTTTCTCTGGCTGCGCGTAGGTTCAAAAGTGGCATTTGATTCCTTACTTGAGGCCATGGTGTCTCAAACACAATTATTTTCTATTCCCTTTAAATATAATCAAATCAAGAGTTAGCATCTTCTGACAGCCGACAAGCTCTGATTCACAGCTTCAGAAGCAGCTATAAATTGGGATGCGTTCAGGGTTAGATACCCCGACGGCCGTTCCCCAGTGGACAGAAGAAGCAGAGTGAACAGAGATGATTGCCTTGCCTCTACACCACCGATCCTAAGTCCTGTAATTCAAGCTAATTATTAACAGGGCTTCTGGAATCACAAGATTTTTTTTTTTTTTAAACTGAAGCTTTGATAAGACGCTCCAGGGATCAGGAGGCGAAGGAGACAAGCTATGCAGCCAGGAATCCAGGGATCAATTTTTGGCAGCCTCTAAACAAGAAATGTGACTTTTAGCATCTGCTCCACAGGTATACAATGGCTGGCTGGCATCTGAAGGGTCCTGCGGGTCTATGGGTTTTCTTTTTCATGCGGTCCGTGGCTGGATTTCACCGGAGTGGAATTTCTGTCTGGGACAAGGATCCCCATTTAAGTCCCGTGAATGAAACTCAGCTGTTCCTGCGCGACACGTTCCCTCCCAATTTCCTGTGGGGAGTGGGAACCAGTGCCTTTCAGGTGGAGGGGGGTCAGCAGGAGGATGGGAAAGGTGCTTCAATCTGGGAACACTTCCTCCATTCCCACTTCAGAGATGCCTACAGGACGGAGGGCTGGAGCGACAGCTACACCTTTCTGGAAAAAGATTTAACCGCCCTGAGTTTTCTGAGGGTCTCTTCCTACCACTTTTCCCTTTCCTGGCCCAGACTCTTTCCTACTGGCACGGTGACAGCCGTCAATCAGAAAGGACTCAGCTACTACAACCGTCTGCTGGATGCTCTCGTCCAGAGAGGCATTGAGCCCGTCGTCACCCTGTACCACTGGGACTTGCCGTGGGAACTGCAGGAGAGATACGGAGGCTGGGAAAACGACTCCCTGGTTGACCTTTTCAACGACTACGCCACTTTTTGCTTCCGAGCCTTTGGAGATCGCGTGAGGTACTGGATCACAATACACAACCCTTACCTCGTCGCTTGGCACGGATACGGCACAGGGCTCCATGCCCCCGGAGAGAGGCGCAAAGGCGCTGCCTACGTGGTGGGACATAACCTGATCAAGGTAGGGCAGGGAGAGGTTTATCGTGAGAAAGCAAGTGGCAGCAAATCCTAGCAGGAAAGGAAGGTGTAAGAACGAAAGAGGACAGTGGCTATCGGGCAAATAATGCTTCTCTGCAGCCTTTGCACACGAAGTGTAATTTCTTGCTTCCTTGCAATAATTTCTCTACATTTCTCGGGAGAAAATAAATCTACGGCTGGTCTAATTGCACCATAGAAAGTCAAGGAGATCACAAATCCATTGTTAACAGTGCTATCTTTTAGTGGGAACTCACCCCTTGACAAAACCTTGCTTGTCTGCTGGAAAGCTTTTAGTTTGTCCTTCCCTAATCAGAGTCCTAGAAATGTGGAATGGAGACCCCACGCCATAGCTGATTGCTCTAGAGTTCAAGCCAAAAGAAGCAATCACAAATACATTTAATTCTGGAGTGGTAACTTCTCATTCCAGATTTTTGTGCGCCCCCCCCCGCTGCTGATCTCACACATTCTTTTTTTTTCAAGATAAACATGTCAATATTTACCCACATCGATAGGACATCAAGCTCGTTCTTCAGGCATTTCTTTCATCTCGGTGAAAAGATTCACTCCCGCCCTTCAATTGTTTTCCCGAAAGATGTGCCTGAATGAACGTTGATCAAGTCAGAAAGCTAATTCAAAGATTGCGTGAAACCCATATCGTCATATTGTGTGTGTGTGTGTGTGTGTGTGTGTTTTTGAGATTTCTCTGCTGCCTTACTAGAGCGGACGTTTGGCGCCACCACACTGACATGGCATTATATGTGAACAGAGGGGTCGTAATCAGTAATTTATTATTTTCAAGGTAGCTTTTGCTACAGGTAACACTGCTTCCAATCCGATCTGAACTCTTTCTGTCCCTTATAATTACACTTCACTAAGGTGAACTTAGTGCAGGGGTTCTCAGCCTTGGCAACTTTAAGACTTGTGGACTACAATTCCCAGAATTCCTCAGCCAGCTTTGCTGGCTGAGGAATTCTGGGAGTTGAAGTCCACAAGTCTTAAAGTTGCCAAAGTTGAGAACCCCTGGCTTAGTGCCTCCGAAGGGAAAGAACAGCCACAGAGATATTGCCACTTTGTGCAACGCAATGACACTTCCTACACACAAAGCCCATCCTGCCAGTCTTTTCCCGATTCAAAACTGGTAGGTTTTAGATCTGAAGGTGGATCTTTACTTGTGACGTTTGCTTCACCAAAATTAGATCTTTGGTGCAAGAATACCGACACGTCCATTTCCGGAGGGCCCTCAGTAGCACAACTGGAGCTGTTCTACGGCTAGTCCTCGTCTTGCAACCGTTTGTTTAGTGACCGTTCAAAGTTGCAACGGCACTGAAAAAATGACCGTTTTTCAGAGTTACGACCTTTGCAACATTCCCCAGGATCAGGTGATCAAAATTCGGACGCTTGGCAGCCGGTTCGTAGTTACGGCGGTCGCCGTGTCCCAAAGTCACGCGATCCCCTCGGGGGACCTTCCGACGAGCAACGTCAACGAGGGAAGCCAGGTTCACTTAACAACTGAGTTTGACTCACTTACCGACCAAAGTGGTTCCCTTAACAACCGGGGCCAGGAACGGTTGTAAAAGGGGACAAAACTCACTTAACCAACGTCTCACTTTAACAAGAGAAACGTTGGGTTCGATTGTGGTCGTAAGTCGAGGACTGGGGAACAAAAGGGCTGATGATGCTGTTGACAGTCGCACTGCTAAAAGGTTGACTGGGTGAGAGCCTCAGAAAGAAGTCTAAATCACGGTCACTTCATTCCCTTTTAGCCTTTAAATCACCCTTTGTAGACAACAAAGTGAACACGCTCACGTGGAGGATAAAAATCTAGCCTGTCCCTTCATAGATCCCCCATTTTTCTCTCACGCTGCTGTGAAGGGTTCAAAAACAAAAGCCACCCCTTGACCAGGTGGTGGAAAATTCCAGGAACCATCCCCAGAAATATATTCAACCTTTCCAGAAAGAACGGTACAGCTGCCACAGGAAACAGATTTGTTGACTGAGCTGAATGAAGCCAGCTCAGTTGCCAAGTGGAAATTAAAACGCTTCCGTTTAAGTTGTTCAATTAATTAAAAGATGCGTGGTGGTGGCGGCTGTTTTTCTCTCCCTCTCTCCCTCTGCACAGGGCAGTGCTTACCCATTTTAGATGGTTCTTGAAAAAGCTAAGCGTGGTCAAAGATGGTTAGTACCTGGATGGGACACACCCCTCTAGATTGCCAGGGCTGTAGGTTCCACTTGTCCCATTCGTCATCTTCAGGCTGGTGTTTTCAGCTTCGTGCTTTGAGAAGCTAAGACCACACACTGCTCCTCGAAGCACGAAGCTGAAAACACCAGCCTGAAGATGACAAATGGGACTTCGTCGAAACGTCGCCAAGACACTTCCAATTTTACGTGGGAGAAAACCCAAATAACCAAAGACCTACATACATACATACATACATATACACACACACACACAACACACGCATACATACATACATACATACATACATACATACATACATACATATACAGGAAGTTTTTCAGACAGACTGGTCTGATTGATTACAGCTTGACATTTTTAACTGCTATACTGCAGTTATACTTTTTACAATCTCTTTTGCCTTGCAGCCCCCCCAACTAGGGGCATTAAGCAGGCTCAAGTCGCAACTGCGAAACATTTACAAATCCAAATTCCTTTTTCTGACAAAGAGTTAAATTAACTGGAGCGTTCGCGTTTGGTTCATGACTTCTAGGCAAGCCCCCTTGCAGTCAACAAAGACTTTGCCCTTGGCCTTTTTTGAGTTCCCTCTGAAGTTGCTTGCTGAGATCCTCCCCACCTGCCAACAGGTGATCAGATCAGATAAAAAAAAATTGTTTTGCCAACATCACTTGGACTTTTTTCTGAGCGTCTGAACTTGGGAGCACCTGACCGACTTCCTCTGGGTTTCGAAAGAAGCGGGGTCAGGCCTGCTTATCCTACTTAGCTCTTGAATGGGAGGCTCCAGAAAATAGTTCCTTTGTAAGCAAGAATCGTGGGGGGGGGGTGTTTCGCATGCAGGGGGAAGACCCCCCCCCAGAAAGCAGCAGTTGTGAAATCGCTTCCAGAATGTTGGGTTGTTAATTAATTAATAAGAGCAGGGAGGGTATGTATGCTTCGTTAGCGTAACCCCCATGCTGCTATTTGTTAAAAAGATACTAGGTCACAGAGTGTCCCATTGGATCATTTTTTTCAGAGATATTTCCTTATCTAGACAGAACGATTACAGGTGGGCAATGGGAACTTCCATCTTCTTGACAGCTTCCCCAGTGAGGTTTCTTGGAGTAGGAAGCCTCAGAAATCTTCCCTTCTTCATCTTCCCTTCCCCAATTTCCCTTTCCTTCCCCCCCTTCCCTTCCCTTCCCTTCGTCTTTTTCTCTTAGACAACAAGATACATTTGCTTCTTGTCCAGATAGATCTTTGGCACGCAAGGCGTCCAAGCCCTGTTCTTAAGTGAGGTGCTCCACCACCTCATCCAAACTGAAATAAATGATTAAACAATATTTGTGCAGAAGTGCTTATCAGCGACGCCTTATCCAATCGTGTGTTCTAGGAGTCCTGGGTCAATATTGGCCGGATAGGTGAGCATCCTAGCAGTTATCCCAGCTAGCATCTAATGCAACCCTCTAATGCCAGATGTGGGAAAACTCACCAACTTAGCTGCAAGTGGGAATTAAATAAAAGCATGGAGCGTAGCACAGTCAATATGAAGAGTTGCAGCCTTTCCAATTGATTATTCCATGGAAATTTTAAGATTTGAAATCACTTGAATACCAGTTGCGGGGGGGGGGGGGAGACTGAAGCAAAAGTGGACTGTTGTATCCATGGATCAGGTGTGGTTCTAGCAGGATTGTCCAGCTGAGTGACAGGGTACTGAATAAGATGGACCTTAGATCTATTAATGTTGTTATCAGCCGATTAAATATCAATCTTTCCTCATGGCAAATTCCCACAACCTAAATGCAGGCAACAGAATGTTGGGGATATAACCACAGTTGGTAGCTTAGCCCGCTGTATGAACTCGATCCATAGTAGGTTTGTTCAGCATATCTGTAACTGAGACAAACCATAGCTTGGCGTGACGTCAGCTATTCGAGACGTTTCTTACGCAAACAGAACGGAGTCAATTGGTTAGCCTCCGTTTTCTCTAGATTTTGCTGATAAACGAATTAGGAAAACAATCACTGCGTTTGCTTGTTGAGGCCTTACTTCATCTGACTACAGGACTTCAGGCCGATGAATGATTTACCTCTTATCCCAAGATATGGAACAAACCCTCCAGAGAAATCTCAAGGGATTGTAAAGACGTTGTAGGGCAGATACACGCTTCTTAGATTCTTGCCCACTAAACATTTCCCGCCAAGTAATCAAGTTGGGCGTTGATCGATGGATAAGCAACACCCATCCCTTCTCTGGGTAGACTGATCTTTCTGGGTGGAGCCAAGTCCAGATAAACCATCTAAAAAGGGTCTTATGAATAGACCAGCTTTGCTTCGTCGTACATTCTTTGATTCCACATCAGGCCCAAGCGGGTTTGAATTGTTCTTCTGCTATGGCGCTCCGGAGGTGGTCAGATTAACCCAGAACAAAGTAACTGGATGCTGAGTAGAGCTCAGAAGACTTTTGAACGGTCCTGACAAATGGGATGTGCGAAAAGCTCCTATTTTGGGATGTTTCTCGGCCATTTTTCACGATGCTCCATCCCGCCTTACTTTCCACCTCTTATTCTCTTCCTCCGTGGAAATGCGTTTTGTCAGGGAAGAGCACTTGTTTTGAATTGCTTACAATGTCATGCGGATAAGAGTTATCTTATAATCGTTGGAGTTTGCACATGCTCCACAGTTTCTACTTGGAGTAAGGTATTATCTCGAGTAGATTCTGGGCTGAGTTAGTTTCAATTGCAGGACGTGGGCTAAGTAGCCCAGGTCCTGTTGCAGAACAGGGAAGGCGGTGCAAGATAAAACTTTCGCCTTTCCTCGGGCTGTTCATCAACACTCAGCAGCAATTAACTGTTACACGGCGTCTTCCACTTAACACAGTACTTGAAAAGAGTTTCAGGGCTATAGTTGTATGCATGTGTATCTCAGAATAAGTGTTAGTATCTGCAGGAGTACTAATACACGAAATTCAGGGAATAAAAGATAAAGAGCTGAGGTGGCGTAGCAGTTAGAGTGCAGTGCTGCAGGCCACTTTAGCTGACTGTGTTCAGCAGGTCAGCGGTTCAAATCTCACCGGCTCAAGGTTGACTCAGCCTTCCATCCTTCCGGGGTAGGTAAAATGAGGACCCAGATTGTTGGGGGCAATGTAAATATATATATACATTGCTTACTGGTGTACACCGCTTAGAGAATGCTTGCACTTAAAGCAGTATATAAGTCTCGTAAATAAATAAATAAATAAATAACATGAGGCTCAGATTTTTCTTGCCAAGAAAATATTGCCATCCATTCTACCGTGGGATTGTGGTTTTTTTTTTTTTTTTTTGAGAAAATAGTAAGAATTTGAGCATGAACAGATTATGCAAAAATGAATGCAGTTGGTTATTAGGCTATGTTGCTATTGATTGATTATATTTCCATTGCTACTGAATATTCTCCCTTGTTCTCAAGATGTCAAACTGATGACGGATCAAGAAGCAACTGCAGGCGGGATTAATTTTGCGATGCCAAATTAATTTTGGCATCGCATCTCCCAGAATCCTTCCTCTTGCCCACGAGATTGGGAATTGCAGCCATATATTTGAAAGGCACCAGCCTCGGAGCGCCTCTTATAAAATCCGAGCGGAAGTACAAACTCAAGACTAGGTTGACTTCAATTCCCAGAATTCCCCAACCAGAATGCATTCTGGGAGCTGAAAGCCAACTTCTTAAAGTGGCCAGGTGTGTTAAGAGTACACCCACCACCTTCTCTCGGTTGGTTTCTGACAGCCCTTTTGTGTCTTTTTGGTGTGTTTGTGGGTTTTGTGTTAGTACCACTTGAGAGTGCCCTGGAAAGACCACACTTGGAATATTGCATCCAGTTTTGGTCACCACAATATAAAAATGATGTTGAGACTCTAGAAAGAGTACAGAGAAGGGCAACAAAGATGATTAGGGGACTGGAGGCTAAAACATATAAGGAACGGTTGCTGGAATTGGGTACGTCTAGTTCAATGAAGAGAAGGACGAGGGGGGACATGATAGCAGTGTTCCAATATCTCAGGGGCTGCCCCAAAGAAGAATGGGGTCAATGTATTTTCCAAAGGACTTGAAGGCAGGACTAGAAACAACGGATGGAAACTCATCCAGGAGAGAAGCAACCTAGAACTAAGGAGAAATTTCCTGAGAATGACAACAATTAACCAGTGGAACAACCTGCCTCCAGAAGCGGTGAATGCTCCAACGCTGGAAGTTTTTAAGAAGAGACTGGACAGCCATTTGTCTGAAACGGTCTAGAGTTTCCTGCCCGAGCAGGGGGTTGGACTAGATGACCTCCAAGGTCCCTTCCAACTTTATTATTATTTTTTCCCCCTCAAGCATTCAGAGGAGCAACATGTACCGTGTGCTATTTTCAGAAAGCACGGATGCAGAACTACTTACAGCATTTAATGAGCAGGGTGATTCATTTCTCCCTGATAGAAGCAGGATTATTCTCCACCCCAGAGGTTCACGTGGACATCCAAGACCTTAGATTAATGCTTGGAAAAAAAAGACGATGAGCTACAAGAGCTGGTACTAGCATTTTCCACATTTATCATCCTGAGATGTTTTCTCAAGGCTGACAGCTGGTCCTAGTTCTGGTTCCTGTTCTGCCACTCTTGAGCTGCATCCTGCTTCGGGGACGGAGATATATTACGCAGATAAAACGTGCAAAATAAATGTTTGCGCAGGCTCGCCTGGCTGACTCATGGATGTTGGAGATGGGGGCACCTGCCGTGTTTCTTTTCTATGTAGAGAGCGATCTTCTTTATCCAAAGCAAAAAGAAAAAAGAAACCCAAACACAAATAATCACATCATAGAAGATGTCTTTGCCTAGGGCAGGGGTCTCCAGATGTGACAACTTTAATGGCTGGCTGAGGAATTCTGGGAGTTGAAGTCCACAAATCTTAAAAGTGGCCAGGTTTGGCGACCTCTGACTGGGGGGGGGGGAAAGACACCAAATTGCTTCCCATAAATCAAATACATTTACCAGAAACTTTATACCTGTTCCTAAGTACTTTTTTGTATTTTAATAATAATAATAAAGTTGGAAGGGACCTTGGAGGTCATCCAGTCCCACCCCCTGCTCAGGCAGGAAACCCTACACCATATTGGACAAATGGCTGTCCGGTCTCTTCTTAAAAACTTCCAGTGTTGGAGCATTCACCGCTTCTGGAGGCAGGTAGTTCCACTGGTTAATTGTTCTCACTGTCAGGAAGTTTCTCCTTAGTTCTAGGCTGCTTCTCTCCTTGGTGAGTTTCCCTCCGTTTTATGCGCCCAGTAATCTTCACTTTTATAATCAGGGGCTCCTGAGGTGCTGAAAATGAAGCGGCCGTGTTCCTTGTTCACCTTTGGTTTTTAATTTATTTTTTTAAATTGCCTTGTAATTAAAAATTAATAGGTGGGGAAACCTAGCGTGCTTCAAAACCAAGAACAGGTTTCAAGTGGGAAAAAAAACCCCCCGCAACCCTGGACTTTTTTCTTTGAAAATATTACTTTAAAAAGAAACGCTGACGAGAAAGGGAAGAATCCTGGGAAATATAACCTTGAGGATGCTGCATTCATCCTCTAGATCAGGGGTTCCCAACCTCCGGTCCGTAGACCGGTACCGGTCCTTGGGCATGCCAGCAACCGGTCCGCACAAACAAGCAAAGCCCCATTTGGGTGCAGGCAGCACACAAAACCACACACTCTCCGGTCCGTGGAAAAACCTCTCACTACGGAACCGGTCCCTGGTGCCCCAAAAGGTTGGGGAACCTCTGCTCTAATTTGCAGTGCTTTTTTCAAACTGGGCAAATTTGTGTGGACTTCAACTCCCAGAATTCCCCAGCCAGCACCCATTCTAGGAGTTGGAAGTCCAACATCTTAAACAGTTGCCAAGTTCAAAAAAAAAACCCCGATCGAGTGTCCTCCACGTGTGCCAAATGCCACTTGGTGAGAATGCTGAAGAAAAGTTCTTAAAAGTCAAATATATCCAATAGCCCCATGAAGTCAGGGAATCAATACTAAAGGGAAGGGTTGATGTTTTAATTGTGACAGATGCAGGATTAAATCATGTGTACTAGATCAAGGGCTCTTCAAACGTGGCCCTTTTGTGACTTGTGGACTTCAACTCCCAGAATTCCTCAGCCTGGCTGAAGAATTCTGGGAGCTGAAGTCCACAAGTCACAAAAAGGGCCAAGTTTGAAGGCCCCTGTACTAGATGATGAGAAGATGCGGCAACTCTTCCCATTTGATTTAGATAAGATGTCCACTTCATCTGCCAAATTTTGTGGCCGGCAAATGTGTATTACGTGTACGTTACACGTAATTGTAAGTTTATTGTTCAGAAGCATTCTTGAGTCTTTCTGTAAAGGACGCCAAAGTGCCCTTCGATTGTGAAACAAGATGGGTAGCAAATAAATTCGATGAATGAATGAAGGTGGGGCCTGCAATAATCACAATAAACCAGTGATCTCCATAGGCCTGTCCTCACTGACAAGTTTATAGGCTTTTTTTTCTGCAGAATGTAGCCTGCAGCTTTACTGGTTAACTAGAATGCAGAGGAGGTATTAGTAATTTTGAAATTGTTAATTGCTTTATACTCTTAACAGTGTCTTATAACCCAGTTTGTTGTAGAACATAGCCAGTTTGATTGATCTCAGCAAGTTAAGATCAGACTGAATTAATAGTGGGCTAGGAAAACTGAAGCTGTAGGCTAAATTGTGAAGTTGAATAAACATCCCCAAAGAATACAGGGGGGCAACAAATTCCGTATTGTTGCCAAGAAAAGTATTTATTTATATTCCATATTTCTAAACTGCTTATCTCCCTCAAACCCGGATGAATGCGTGAAATCATTGAGGATCAACCTGGAGTTGAAGACTTTATTTTACATTTAGAAATCCGAAGTCTTTATCATAATCCTCCAGAGATCTATCAATAGATTCTTTTAATACCCGTATATACTTGATTTACCAGAGTTATTCCCGATTTCTGATTCCATTGCTAAGAATATGGGTTATTTCACGGAGAAATGTACCTGTCAACACAGAAATTGCTGATCAATAAAATCTTTCTATAGTGATAAATTCTACACGAATGAGCTAACACAGTGGTTCTCAACCTGTGGGTCGGGACCTCATTTGGGATCGAACGACCATTTCACGGGGGTCGCCAAACAACGCAGTCTGCCATTTTTCCCCCTTTTCCTTAGCTGTGCTACTCCCTTTTATTCTATTGGCTTTTGAAAGCCAATAGAATAGACTCTCTTGAATAGAGTCTAATTCTATTGGCTTTCAAAAGACAGTAGGAATTGTCCAGGCTGTCTCTGCCCTGCTGAGCCCGCCAAAAGTCCCATTCTGCAAACGGTGCTGCACCAGTTGAGTAGTCCTCGACTTACGACCGGTTGAGTAGTCCTCGACTTACGACCAGTTGGAGGTCGCGGCATTAAAAAGGTTGAGAACCACTGAGCTAACAGATGTATTATGCTTGAAGCTTTCGGACAATTAACTTGATAAACCGAACACTAGCTCATAAAATCCTATATCATAATAAACCTATTGGTCTTTGTGTTAGCTCCACTGTATCATTGACGATAATTAATACCTGGATTTGAGCGTTCGCATCTAAACAAATATATTTGCAGCTCTTCCAAAAAAACTGCAGCTAACCTCTGTAACACATTTAAACCCCGACTGTTATTTTTTTTTTCTCTCTCTCCCTTAGGCTCATGCAACAGTCTGGCACAATTACGACCGACATTTTCGACCCCAGCAGAGAGGTTTTTTATCGATCACGTTGGGATCTCACTGGGTTGAGCCGAGCAAACTCAATAACGAATCCGACATTGAAAAGTGTCAGCTGTCCATGCAGAAAGTCCTCGGCTGGTTTGCAAAGCCGATACACGGAGACGGCGATTACCCCGAAGAGCTGAAGAGGGAACTTCCCGCTCTGCTCCCAAAAGCCACGCCGACCGAAAGGAAATATTTTCAAGGGACGGCCGATTTCTTTGCATTTTCCTTCGGGCCAGATAACTTTAAACCTCCGGGCAAGGTGCCCAAAATGGGGCAAACTTTCTCCCTCGACTTGAGGGGAGTTTTGAACTGGATTAAAGCGGAATACAACCCTCCCAGGGTCCTGATTGCGGAAAATGGCTGGTTCACCAACAAAGATGTAAAAACAGAAGATACGACGGCGATTTACACAATGAAGACCTTTGTTAATAAGGTTTTGCAAGGTGTGTAAGGCGACCGGGGGGGGGGGGGAGAGATTCGAACGAGGGTCACTTACACGAGACAATAAGAGTCAACCACAGGCAGTCCTCGGCTTTTTACAACGGTTCATTTAGCGACCGTTCCAAGTTACAACGGCACTGGAAAAAAAAAGAGGGACTGAGGTCCGTTTTTCACACTTAACAATACTGCGGCATCCCCACGGTCACGTGATCAAAAATTCAGCCGCTCGACGAGCGACTCATAGTTACGACGGTGGTAGCGTCCCAAGTGACGCGGTCACGTTTTACAGCCTTTTCTGACAAGCCAAGTCAGTGGAGGATCCGGATTCACCTTACAACGGTGTTATTAGCTTAACGACTGCAGCGGCGCCCTTAAGAACTGTGACAAGTCGTAAAATGGGGCAAAAGTCACTTAACAAATTTAGCCATTGACATTTGGGGCTCAGTTGTGGCCGTTAAGTCGAGGACTGCCTGTACATAGGACGATAAATTCGTGACGGGTAGCTAGCTTTGCAGAATGTGTTTACAGGTAAGCATCAGCTCAAAGGCCGGCAGGTGAAATAGTCACCTGAAGCTTGCAAATTTTCTTTTCTCCCACTGCAGTCCTAAAGACAATCCCTCCAGTCCATTGGAAGGAAATACCTGGGACAAGTGGTTGATGATATATTAAGTGAGGTCATCCACGGGCCTTGAACTAAATTAAAAGCTCTTGGAAGCAATTAGTCTAGATCAGTGTCGCTTAAAAGTACGGTCCAAGGACTACTGCGGGTCCCCCAAGACCATCTCAAAATGTCTGCAGAGTCAAAGTCGTTTGTCAGATGTTGAAGATATTTGCAAAAATCTAAAACAATATCCCTCTTTCTCATTATTTGTTAAAAATATACGGTTTTTTTTTTAAAATGAAAAATACTTCTATGTTAACATCTAATAGTTTTTGATCTTTATCCGATTCAGCAAATGTTCTACAAATGTGTTTTTTTTAATGAAAAATACTTCTACGTTAACATCTAATAGTTTTTGATCTTTATCCAATTCAGCAAATGTTCTACAAATGTGTTTTTTTTTAATGAAAAATACTTCTACGTTAACATCTAATAGTTTTTGATCTTTATCCGATTCAGCAAATGTTCTACAAATGTTTTTTTAATGAAAAATACTTCTACGTTACTATCTAATAGTTTTTGATCTTTATCCGATTCAGCAAATGTTCTACAAATGTGTTTTTTTAAATGAAAAATACTTCTACGTTACTATCTAATAGTTTTTGATCTTTATCCGATTCAGCAAATGTTCTACAAATATTAAACATCAGAATGCCTCCTGATCCCTCAAGGGTTAATTATAAATCTGAGGGTTTATTTCTTTAAAAACCCAGATCGTGTCTGTTTTGATTTTTAATGTGCCAAACATTGATAAACATACGCTATGTAAACAAAAGCTGTTTTGGGGTCCTCCATAATAATTTTTAGAAGTGAGAAAGAGTCCCAATAGCAAAAACCTGAAGATAACACTGGTCCAGATCTTCGGTGATAAAAATTATCCATGCCTTCCTTAAATTGCTTTCCAGAAGTGGGGGGAAATAAGTGAAAAGATACGAGGTGGACCAGACTTAATGTGATCCCATCCAATTAGTCTTGAAGAAATAGCTGCCCATCAAAAAATAATCCCTTCGACTGGAACCAGGCAAACAAAGCAGGCAGTTGCTAAGAGAATTCCTTTGTCACCTTCCTTGCTGGCTTAACGTTTGTGATGAGTGCCAGGCGTGGTTTGTTAATTGGACAATTATTTTTTTTATTTATTTGCCTTGCGCAGCTATTAAATACGATCAGATTGAGGTGTTCGGCTACGTGTCTTGGTCTCTCCTGGATGGATTCGAATGGCAACAGATGTTCAACAACCGGCGAGGATTGTTTTACGTAGACTTTAATAGTAAAGAGAAGGATCGGATCCCCAAGTCATCTGCCTTTTATTATAAGCAAATTATTCAGGAGAACGGCTTTCCTGCGGAAGAATCGACCCGGAGTTTGCAAGGCCAATTTCCTCCGGAGTTTTGCTGGGGCATCACCGAATCAGTTATCAAGGTAAGCAACCTAAAAGCAAGCATCCCAACTATTTGGGATGGATAAAATTCATTAAAAACGTATTTAGAGTCTTCCCCAAGTGTTGCAAATATTAAACGTCAGAATGCCTCCTGATCCCCCAAGGGTTAATTATCCTTTATAAATCTGAGGGTTGTTTCTTTAAAAACCCAGATCGTTTATTGAGGTAGATGTCCCAAACCATAGGTTTCTAAGGTCTTTGCTCAAAAAAAAAAAAACAAACAAACAAAAAAACAAGACATACAATTAGGAGTAGAACATAAATCAGAAGGTTATATATGTGAAACACACATTCCTCAAATGCACGAGGCACAAAAATAGTTATTACAGTGTTTCTCAACCTGGACAATTTTAAGGCATGTGGTCTTCAACTCCCAGAATTCCACAGCCAGCATTGCTGGTTGTGGAATTCTGGGAGTTGAAGTCCACATGCTTTAAAATTGTCCAGGTTGAGAAACACTGACTTATTAGGTTGGGGCTGTAAAGAATGCCAGGTGAAAGTCTCAACACGCTAGAGAAAACATTCTTACCTTATAGATTATTCTTAGGGCATAAATATGTTCAAGAGATGGGAGAAACTTAACCGAGAACTGTATTACTCACCTCAGGCTTAGCAAGATAAGAACATAACTCTGGTGGAGTAACCAGTGGTCTCCCATCTCTCTTTTAAGACCAAGCAGTCTCTTCCAGAACAGGCTGAATACCCTTCATCTACCTCAGGGGTTCTCAACCTTGGCAACTTTAAGACTTGTGGACTTCAACTCCCAGAATTGCTCAGCCAGCTTTGCTGGCTGAGGAATTCTGGGAGTTGAAGTCCACAAGTCTTAAAGTTCCCAAGGTTGAGAACCCCGGATCTACCTGAAGACCAAAAAGACCTTGACCTTGCCTAGATATATGGATTTCTTGTCCTCCGTGCAGTAAGTGGTTGTGTTCAAACATTAATTCAGAACAACCCTCCCTCCCAACTTCATCTGCCTCTGATGGATGGGAGGCAAAACTGAACGTTATTTGCAGACTGACATCCCAGCTCATCTTTTTATATGGCCTTGTCTAGATGTATTGATCTCTTAACGTTCATCCAGGACTTCCCACCATAGTTGAGTCAGCAGATGGAGCAGTAGCTTCAGCGGTTGCCTCAGAAGGGTTGCACTTTGTCCATGCTAGATATCCTCCTCTTAAGACGCCACCCTATATTAGAGGAACTGACCGGGATGCTCTTCAGATCATGCTCTAACTGCTCTGTCTAAATCTAAAATATTGGGAAGGAGGAAAGCCACGTATTTATTTTATTTTATTTATTTATTAATAAAATTTATATGCCGCCCAATCCCTAGGGACTCAGGGCGGCATACAAAATTAAAACAATAAATATAACAATAAAATAAGTGCATTCATACAGCATGTCCCAATCGTATCCCGCCCCCCCCCCCCAGGGACATCAACCCCAGGCCTGCCGGAACAGGAGAGTTTTAATAGTTTTCTTGAAGGCCGGCAAGGTGGGAGTAGTTCGAATCTCGGGGGGGGAAAGTTGATTCCACCACGTCGGAGCCACCGCAGGAAAGGCCCTTCCCCGAGGGCCCGCCAGCCGACATTGTCTGGCCGACGGGACCTGAAGGAGGCCCAATCTGTGGGACCTCACCGGTCTCTGGGAACTATGCGGCAGTATGCGGTCCTGTAAGTAACCTGGCCCTATGCCATGAAGGGCTTTAAAGGTGATAACCAACACCTTGAATTGCGTCCAGAGACCCACAGGAAGCCAGTACAGCTCGTGGAGGATAGGTGACACATGGGTGTACCTTGGTGCACCCACAATCGCTCTCGCGGCTGCATTCTGAACCAACTGCAGCCTCCGAACGCTCTTCAAGGGTAGCCCCATGTAGAGCGCATTACAGTAATCCAGTCTTGAGGCGACAAGGGCATGAGTGACCGTGAGTAGAGCCTCCCGGTCCAAATAAGGCCGCAACTGGTGCACCAGGCGAACCTGGGCAAAGGTCCCCCTGGCCACAGCCGATAGATGTTGTTCCAAATTTAGTGGTGAGTCCAGGAGGACGTATGTAAATCAATATTCCTTTCTTAAATCTTAATTCTCGTTTACAGGCAGAATCCTTAGCTTCTTCTCCTCAGTTCTGTGACCCTAACCTGTATCTCTGGAACGTCTCCGGCGACGGAAAATTCTACCAGGTGAAGGGAGTGAGATTGAAAACCCGGCCAGTTCAATGCACGGACTTCACCAGCCTTAAAACACATCTTCAACTGCTCTCGCGAATGAAGGTCACTCATTATAGATTCGCCTTCAATTGGTCGCTGCTCCTCCCCAGCGGCGATCCCTTGTCCCTTAACCGCCAAGTCCTTCGGTATTACCGATGTCTGATTAGCGAGACGCTCAAGCTCAACGTGAAGCCCGTGGTCACCTTGTACTATCCGACCCACCAGTCACTAAGCCTGCCGGGTCCTTTCCTTCAACACGGTGGTTGGTTGAATCAATCCACCGTCCGGGCATTTACAACTTACGCCGAAAAGTGCTTCCAGGAATTTGGAGACCTGGTTAAATTCTGGATCACCATCAACGAGCCAAATCGGTTCGGTGAGGTTTACAACGGCAGCAGCAATGACACGTACCGGGCAGCTCACAACTTGCTGATGGCGCACGCCATGGCTTGGCAGGTCTACGATAAACGGTATCGGTCTTCCCAGCGGGGTCAGGTGTCCCTGTCTCTGCACTGCGATTGGGCGGAACCTGCCAACCCTTATCTCGATAGCCACTTGGAAGCGGCCGAGAGGTTCCTCCAGTTTGAAGTGGCCTGGTTTTTAGACCCTCTGCTGAAAACGGGGGATTATCCCCCAGCCGTGAGGAAATATCTCGGTTACAAAAAAGGCCAAGGCCTCTCCAGTTCCTTTTTGCCGTTTTTCACCAGGGAGAGAAGCAGCTGGTTCGAGGGGCTGCCGATTTTATCGCCGTGAATCACTTCACCACGAGATTTGTGGCCCACGAGTCGAAGAACGGGAGCCGGTATGAATTCGACCAGGACATTCAACTCGTGCAAGATTTCACCTACCTCAGTTCCCCCCTTCGCTCCGCCGTGGTGCCTTGGGGGTTACGCAAAGCCCTGAACTGGATCCGTCGGCGTTACGGCGACATGGACATTTATCTCACCGCCAGTGGGATCGAGGATCCGTCGAACGACAACGACGAGCTCCGAAAATACTACATCGGGAAGTACGTGCAGGAAGCGTTTAAAGGTGAGGAGATGGTGAACCGACGCTCATCCCGCTAATTCAGAAGTGTCCTGTGATTGGTTTAGCAAACTTGAAAGGGGGCTGCTTGACTGCATCTCCTTTGCGCAGAAGGGATGACACTGCTTCAAGGGAAGACACACTATTTTTATAGACTGGAATAATTGTTAGGTTTTCTGTAGCGTGCGGGTCTACTGCAGGGGTCTTCAAACTTGGCAACTTGAAGACTTGTGGACTTCAACTCCCAGAATTCCTCAGCCTGTCTACAAGTCTTAAAAGTTGCCAAGTTTGAAGCCCCCTGGTCTACTAAATGGCCATTTTTAGCATCAAAACATCACACTGGGGACAGGAATTAGAAGAGATCTGCTAGCAGTGTATCAAACCAACACATTTTCATTAAAAAGCATAACCTTTTGTAAGGAAAGCATCTTGATTATGGGTACACACAAGATAGATTACGGATACCACGTCAATTAAGGATTGTGGTTGTAATGGGTAAAAAAAAATAACTCAGCTTCCTGATTTTTGGCTGCTAGATTAACACGGCTCCCTCCTACAGTGTCTAAAATGGAAGCAAAGGATTCATTCACACATGTGCTGTGCTTGGCACAACAGTGGTGTGTTTGATTTGTTCTTTACACTTCAGTCCTAAATGAGGCTTCCCATCCCTACTGCTCTTCAGATGTGTTAAACGACGTGTGTTGTGCTGGCTGGATTATTGTCTAGCATTTCTGGTGAGCTGTAAATTGAAAAGGGTTGTTCCCATTATATTCAGCAAATCCAGGCCAAACATCACACACATATACGCACACCTTCCTTTACTACAGGTAGTTCATTTTTGTAGAATTGTACATAATCCTGCCCAAAGCAATTTTTTTTTTGGTCAGCTGTAAAGATGACTTCAGCAACTATGTTTTCCAAGTGATACTGTCAAATTATTTTTCATCATGCAGTTGATAACTTTCTAAAAAAAAAAAAAAAATACCAGACTATTCCATCCAAAAATATATTTAACTTGATATAGCAAAATCTACAAAACAAAAGCCAGAGCAATAAAATACAACACTAATACATTTTCAGCAATCGTATCTTTTTTATCACTTGGACTTTGAAATATGTGATCGGAAATCAAGACTAATAATGAAAGACATTTCAATCCAAACCAGCTCACAAGGGTTGATGTTGTGAAGATGGCTGGAGGAAGAAAAAAATAATAGGTGTGCTTGAATAAAGACGAGATAAAGACAGATAAAATAAAAATGAGAGGATGATAAGGCTGACTGCTCCTCGCTTTTAACAAATGCAAATGTAAGAATCTGATGCAAGCGGTTGAATAAAGGTATAGTTTTCTGATTATCACACTTTGTTCTACTTAGCAGAACGAGAACGCCCCCAGATAAAAGCTGTGAAGCTTTATGGAATCGCTTTGTACTCTAACTCAGCTCTGCTAGTGTGGAATAAATCCAGTGGTTTCAGTTAAATCTTATTGCAAAAGATTATTGTGGAAAATCATAGCAACTGAAGAATTGATTAGTCGGAGGAGAACGTGAAATTCTGCAAAAGCTTCTGTATGTAATTGTCAGGGATAAACAAACGGTATTAAAAGACGAGAGCAGAATAGAGTGAGAGAACAGGATTAAGAAGTGTCATACAAGCAAATACCAACAATCTTGTATGGTCAAAGCTTAACAAACCTTTAACCATTTCTGAGGATTACAGTTCTACAAAATGCCAGAATATTATAGGGCAGTGAGGCGACCTTTTAGAGGGACCGAATGCCCCAAAACCACCCCCCAAACCGTCCCATTCCGCCCCTGCCCGCTGGGTCACCCACCACCTCCACGGCCCGCCACAGATCACCAGCAGCCCAGCAGCGCCATGGTGCCAAGCCCTCCAACCCGCATCCTACAGCATCATCTTGCGTGTGACAGGGCTCAAGGGCGGAGTCTTGTCCGCTTGCCGGCTACCATGTCCTTGGCTGCGCTGCTTCCGCTGGGGGGGGCTGCTGGTGAGGAAGGGGGCCATGGGAGGCGGGGCTGGACGACGGTTGCGTGTGTGCCCACAGAGAGGGCTCCGGTGCCGCCTCCTGGGGCACGCGTTTGCAATTGGTTCACCATCACGGTTATAGGGTATACCAAGCAGTGCTCGAAGTAAGACCACAATGGAGCCAAAGTGTTCTGTGGCTCAAGACAGACATTTGTTAAGTGAGTTTTAACCCCATTTACGACATTTCTTGTCACCGCCATTAAGCGAATCCCGAAGCTGATAAGTTAGTTAAAACGACTGTTTAAGTGAATCTGGCTTCCCCATGACGTTGTGTATCAGGTGGTCGCAAAAGGGGGCTTACGTGACCGCGGGCAGTGCAACTTGTCGTGAACTAGTCAGTTGCCAAGGCTTTCAATTTTGGATCACATGACCCAACAGGGATGCTGCAGCCGGTATAAGGATGCTGCATCGTTCAGAAGTCCCTTTTTGGGAGCCGCCTGTAACGTTCGAACGGTCATAAATGAACTGTTGTTAAATCGAGGACCACTGTAACACACTTATTATTAAGAAGAGGAAGCAAATGATGAAAATGGCAAGCGAGAATGTTAAGAATCATTTTTTAAAGCAATGCTTTCTGCCTCAAAAGTAATCTATGCCGGCGTGACAAGAAATCATAATGAATTGGAAGCGTTTTCTCTTAATTCTTGAAAAGCTTCTAGAAAAAAAATGTTAATGTTATTAACACCAACAAAATACTTTTAAAAAAAAAACCTTACAGAAATTCCAGGCCAAGGTGTTCCTTCAAGAAAAAAAATGAGTTTACACCCATTTTTTTCCTTTCCAAATACTATGGTGATTCGGCTTTTCGGTTCACGCAGAAATACGCAATTAACGTGAGCCTTGTTGTTCCTTTTCAGCTTACCACGTCGACAAAGTCAACCTCCAAAGATACTTTGGGTTTATTAAGCCACGACGAAGGCGCCAAACCCCAAAATTGGATTCTACTGCCGAATTCCAGGACAAAGCTTCCGTCCAATTCTAAAACAACGCTGATCTGCAACAACGCTTCCTGCTGAGCCTGCCCATAAATGCAGCCCACACATGGAAACGGGCTTCCTGCACGCTCTGCTGATTCTCATCGGGAAAAGCAGCTTAATCTCCCTCGGATGCTGCCTTTTGGTACACTAGCGACGCTCAAGCTAGCGGTGCGTTTCATAAACGAAGACAAAGAAAAAAAGATTGGTCAAAATACTTCCATCACTTTCTTTGCCTTTTTGTTGAAACTAAAGCTAAGAAATCCCTAGCCAGATATAGAACGTTTTATTTTGTCCATTTGGCAACAAGGATCAGAAAAGTTAGCGGAAACACTCCATCTCTTGTTCCGCAAGATACTACCATCAGAACGCCAAAAAATTCAGGATTCTGACACAGAACAACACTTTGGGTTTTTACCAAGGATTCCCTACATTCTTATGCCCTGTCTTAAGATATTTCTAGCGCTTACTACGGAGAATATGGTGTCAGTCCACACACCTTATTCCTCTTCAGCCTCTGATTAATATATACAATTCCAGTCCAACAGACGCTATTCAAATATGTAAGGCTTGCACATCTCCACGTGAGAGCGAACTATTACAAAAGGATGCATGTTGGTTCGTTATTTAATTCGAATGCAACCAACGTGTTCTGGTGGGTCTGTTAGGGATAACTCGTGGTTCAGTTTGAAATGAACAAGATTTTTTAGAAGAACCGTGCACTTTTCAAGAAAGTCTTCGCCTTTCTCAAGTAACAATTCATCAGGGTTTTGTGTGTATGTGCTGTGGTTATTATAGATTGGAAACGTTACGATTATCTTTATTTAAGTTTTTTGCAATCACAAGTTGGTTAAATACCAGCATGTATTTAACATTATCACTATCTTGCCTCCCATTTCGTCTCTCGCCCCCCAAAAAATTCAATTAGGTAACGGAGTTTAATGGTGAGATGGTGAGATTATTATTCAACAGTTTCACAAAATAAGTGAAACAAAGCGGAGTTGGGAAAAGGACGGAAAATCTCCACATTTGAATTAAACCAACCAATTCCAGATTCGAATGGCTTGAAGATAAATAATATTACAACGGTCTTAGCGTGGGTGAGACTCTCACATGTAACTCCTCAAAGCAGTGTTCTCAACCTGAAGAAATTTTAAGGCATGTGGACTTCAACTCCCAGAATTCCACAGACAGCAATGTGGCTGTGGAAATTCTGGGAGTTGAAGGTCCACATGCCTAAAATTGTTCAGGTGAGAAACACTGGCCTAAAGTAATGAAAAACTTGAAAGGGTCACAGTGGCAACCTAAAGATACTTATCTTACCGTGTTTGTGTTGTGATGGGCAACTGAGCAGTCATTCTCAAAATTCACATCGGACTTCAAAGGCTATCCCATGCACAATCACAAAATACAGGATATTAAAAGATTAGGGTTTTATTTTTTCTTCAAACCAATCTGAGACTGTTCAGTTCAATAGAAAATTTGCCGATGTGTCATGTCCCAGTTTGGCCCATTTCAGGACCTAAAACATAAAAAAAGTTTTATTGTCGAAGCAGGAAAAAAAATCATCAAGAAAATAACTTTATTTCCATTCTCTGACAAACATATTCAAGCTAAGGCGATAAAGAGTACGTGCTGTGACATTTTATAGATGTCCTTTGCGTGTATGAGAAGCTCTTACATATATGTTATGTTCGTTCTGCTGCATTTTTGCTGTTTCCCATTTGTCCTTTTTGTGAATTAAAGGAAACCAAATGGAAAAAAAAAATATTAACTGATAGTATCGGTCTGTGACGTGAAATATATATCAGCAGATAAACTTCCCTATCAACAGATGGGAGTGGATATTTCAGGATTTTTCTAAATACTTGTGTTTTTCAACGATTTATAGAAACATTTTTTAAAGCAAGGGAAGGGCAGGGAGAACTTAGCCCCATTTCAACACACAAATGCTGAACAATCATCTCAGATGTAAATCATAATTACTGTTTAGGGTCCCGGGCGAGACAATATTTCTTTTACTTCGTCTTAACCAGGGGTAGGCAAACCGTGGCTCTTTTATGACTGTGGACTTCAACTCAGAATTCATCAGCAAGCTGGCTCAGCTTGGAAACCTCTCCCTTTCCCCTCAGCAACGGCTGGCTCAGGAATTCTTGGGAGTTGAAGGTCCAGAGTCAAAAAAGAGCCAAGGTTGCATACCCCTGTGTTAAACCATCAGGATATACATCAATTGCATTACAAATTTGGCAAGTCTCAAAAGGCTTATTAGAACGAAACATAAGGTCAATAGTAATAGTTGGATAGAAAAAGTCACAAGGAGCTGTAAGCAAGACCTGAAAAAGGTTGAAAAACAGCCAGAGGGCAATACAAAGGAGCCATCGTCAAGAAAAAAACTATTAAGTTGGTTCTGTGGTGGCCATGAATTGAATGAAATTCAATATAGCTTCATTTTCCCCTAGATCACGAAGAAAACTGTTGCAAGAATGGGTATGGCTAGTCTAGTGAAAAGGACTGGTGTGTGTTGTGTGTTGTTGATATAACAGTATTTCAATATATGAGGGACTGTCACAGAGAAGAGGGGTTCAACCTATTCTCCAAAGCACCTGAGGGCAGGACAAAGAAGCAAGGGGGGAGAAGAAAGAAACTCATCACAGGAGAGAAGCAATCTAGAACAAAGGAGAAACTTCCTGGACAGTCAAACAATAACAGTGGAACTCCTTGCCTCCAGAAGTTGTGAATGCTCCAACACTGGAAAGTTTTTAAGAAGAGACTGAACAGCATTTGTACTGAAATGCAGAGGGTCTCATGATGGAGCAGGGGGTGGACTAGAAGACCCAAGGTCCTTCCAAAGTCTGCTAATTCTCGGATCCACTTATATAGGTCTATAAAAGGGATGTTAAAGCCTCACCATATTCCAGGCAGTGGACTATTCGTAACATTGGGACTATACCTCCTCAAATCATCACGAGCAAGGTCATTTCAAATGGCCGTTAATTAATGCTTTCCTCACTGTCTATTTCAATCAAACACAAGCTAAATGAGAAGTAACCTTTCTCAATATTCACTTTTAGATGTGAAGAAGTCAATGTTGATGCCTTTCAACGAACTCTGTGTTTATGAGCAACCTCATCTGTTCAACATCTAGATCAATATGATATATATACACAGGTCTTTCGGTATTCGGGTTTTACTCCCACTTCAAATTGGAAGTGTCTTCGGCGACGTTTCAAACGAACGTCCTCATTATCATCTTCAGGGCTGGGTCTTCGGCTCGTGCTTCTAGGAGCACGAAGCCGAAGACACCAGCCTGAAGATGACGAATGAGACTTCGTCGAAATGTCGCCAAGACACTTCCAATCTGACACGGGAGAAAACCCAAATAACCAAAGACCTACGTACAAACACCCGCAAAAACCTCAGAAAACAAATATATATATATGGTAACTTACAAAAATGGCGCTCGTAAATCACTTGATGAGCAGGGTGTGTCTACTGTACACCAGACCCGAAAAATGATCTTATCACTTCCCCGCAGACTATTCCAGATTATTAAATCAGTCATCCAGCATGTATTCTAAACAGCTACGTCTAGTTGCTAAAAAATATCCTCAGAAATGGTCCAGTAACATACAGCATCTCAGAGGCTTGTGACTGAGACGAGTTGAAATAAAAATTCAATGAATGTCCCTGCTCTGAATAGCCAAACTTAATCCAGGATATTTTTGCTTATTTATATTTCATGTAGAGCACATGGAATTATGTTAAAAAAATAAAATAAAAGAATATCACTAACTTGTTATCGGGTTTTATTCATCTGCTTGTTGTACTGTTCCTTTCTCGGAGACGTAGATACCGTCCAAGAATTTTCTTATGTCTTTATTCTTGACAGTTGTGGCTTGCTGGATCAAGGCAGCTATAAAAAAAAAACAAAAACCAAAGACAGTCCTATTTAGCTTGGAAAGACAACATAGTTACCCCCTCCAGATTCAACAACTGATTTAACAAAAGCTAGGGCCACAATGAAATCAAATTAGATGGCAAAGCCAAATGAAGCCATTTGTAGCAAGATAACAATAAATAAAAAAAAGCACAGAAGTAAACATGAGGACACCCTGTTAAGAATAACAATAAAACTTCCCTGATCTTCAGATTTATTTAAACGGTTTCCAAATGCTTTGCATGACATAGCACAAACTTAGCAATGGGACAAAATGGAATATAAAGCTCAAATGACACACCAGAGTTAGATACCAATTCAATGTCATTTCCTTCAAGGATCAGTTCATCCTTCTGAGCTTGCGACACTGCACAATTAACACCTGAAGTAGGGAAAAAAAACAACATTTTAGAAAAGATTATCACTAAAAAAAGGGAAAAGAAAACGTGCTCAAAAAAGCTGATTTTCAACTTAAGAAAAATACATTATTCGTGCGCTCACTGTATTTTGCCTTTTTAAAAGCAAGAATTTGTTTCCCTTCAAAGGAAACTTCCTAGCAAAGCCAGAATAAGCATTACAAAAGTTCTCGTCCGCAACAAGTATGCATCACAACAAAGAACACGCTGTGCAGTATTCAAGCTATAAAACACCCAAGGCCATGAGTACCGCTTTGACAATTCCGTAGCTGTATCAAAATAAATAAAAAAAAATCTGTGGTTGACATAGTGTAAAACCTGTTTGTAAAACTAATGAAATCAGTTGTCTATCAACTTTTCAGACTATTCCAAGATTCCCCTAAAGCAGACATTTTCAAACTTGGCAAACGCTTCAGATGTGTGGCCTTCGACTCCCAGTTCGAAACACACAGATCTCAAGCACAGAAGAATAGTATAACAGTTGGAAGGGACCTTGTAGATCATCTAGCCCAGTGATGGCGAACCTTTTAGAGACCGAGTGCCCAAACTGCAACCCAAACTCCACTTACAGTCAGGTCCAGAAATATTGGGACATTGACACAATTCGAACATCTTTGGCTCTATACACCACCACAATGGAGTTGGAATGAAACAA